AGTTTATCTTTATATAATTATAAATTTAATTATTAATAGTTATTTCTTTTCTATTTATAGTAGAGCTATTAGAACTATAAACTTAAATATTATATATAATAATAGAGTATAGTTACTTTATTTAATTTTTTTTTAATTTAATAATATAGTAGGTTAAGTAACTACTTTTAAGTGGTTTTACTTATAGAGTTAATAGATAAATGTTTACTTAAGTAGAGTTAAAACTTTAATTAGAGGAATAGTAGCTTTATTTTTATTTATTTTAGTTAATTTATACCTAAGTTATATAATAATATTATATATAGTACTTAATAGCGTTAAAACTAGTGTATAATTTATAATAACGTTAATTTTTAACGGATTAATCTATATTAAAGCGAATAATACTAACTTAAATAGACTAGATATAGCTTAGTGTATTAATGTAGGAAGGTATATTTTAATAATAGATAGCGTTATAAATAGTAATAGTAGATTATAAAGTTACTATAAAAAGTGCTATATAGTAAACTTAGTTAAACTAATCTTTAAAAGATATATTATATTTTATTTTTAAAACTTTAATTATTCGTTTTTAAATTAGTAGTAGAATTAAAAATATAAATAGTCTATAATTAAATAAAAATATAATGTAGTTAAAGTTATATAAAATAGAAGTAAAACTATATATATCCTTAAATATATATAGAATAAAAGTGAAACTATTTTTAAAAATCTAATTTTATTATATAACTTCCTTATAATAATTAGTTAATAAACTATTTATATTTATAACTTTAATTAATATTATTATTATTATATTCTTTTTAAGTATAAAGTTTTAAATACTTACTATTATATAAAGATACTATTTATATCCTCGAATATATATAGAATAGAAGCAAAACCACATAGAATACAAGTTAAACTAATTAATTTTTAGAGTAACTATTTGTGCTATTGAATTTGTTATTACAGCCACAAGTTCGTGTTGGAGACATTAAACGACCTGTTCCAGTTGGACAGCTTCCCAGCAGGCCGAGCGTCTAGGCACACGCCCACAGAAACCAGTCGGGGTTCAGACCTTGGGTTGCCCCCCACGCCTTGCTTAGAAGGGGAGGAAAGCAACCCACGGGTAGCTGTGGCAGCTAGCTGAGATGGCTGCCGGTTCGCCGCGAGGGACCTATCGACATGACCAAGGCTGACCACCGTCGAACTAACCTTGCCGAGATTTGCAAGGTCCGCTTCCCACTTAGATGGGACTGAATTGTCCGGCGACTAGATGAGACCTGACAAGATGGTTATGAGTGAGTCGAGATTGATTGGTCTTTGCCCTTAGGACCTGCAGGGTAACTACAGAACTCAGAGCACCCGAGTAGCGAGTTCAACACGCACTGGTTGCTGCTTGTACACATGGCATCCATGATGAAAGACCCAACGCTCTAGGACGCAATTCGTACGCTACTTTGCTTGCTCTGGGCCCAATTTTGTAGGTGTGACTAGAAGTTCTTCGCATCCTTGTGGATACTGGCCGGATATTTGCTGGTATTCTAGGCCTCGAGGAGATTTGTGCCGGGCTGTTGGTGTGGATTTCTTCGATCTGGTTTCACTTCTATTCCGCATCCGTCTGAGGACATACATGGCGTCTTCGTAGAGTGGTAAGTGGTTTCGGTTCCATTCCGTATACGTCCGAGGATATACATGGCGCCTTCATACAGTGGTAAACGCCCAAGATCCAGCGTTTAAAAATCGTATAGTGTCGACATCAGCGGTTCTATGGATCGCTTGGGGCTCTCAGAACACCTTGACTGGCTGTGCAATCTATCCGAATCTATGGCGAAGATTAATCGGGGATGCAGGGGACGAAGCATTCATAGATCCAAGGTGTTCAAGTTCAAAGTGCTTGCTTAGTGCCCAGTAAGCTCTGTGAAGGGAGCAAAGTTCGAGGAAGCGTCGTATCACGGAAAGACTTTGCGAACACGATATGGCAGAAGCCCAACTTAGAGTACACTACAACACAGATCTAGCTACCAGGCGGTGGCATCATGGGACTTTTGGAATATAACTTGGTCGGGACCCAGTGAGGACGCAATGATCTTAGCCCCGCCGTCGTAGAACTCTATACCCTAGGGTAGGTACGAGGTTAATCCATTTGCCGCCATGCTTGAACTGACAAACGGGTTCCCGACCACTGTGCAGTGTAGAACTGCAATGCAATAGACAGCATCTGGTCCGAAAGTGGAGTGGCGGATCAGCACTCCAAGAATCAACCTCCAGCGCAAAACTGCGATGAGAAGTTGTCGAAAACGGCTTATGAAAACAGACCTACAGAGCTTTGCTCTTTAAGTGTTTCCTTCCTTGGTGCACATGTGGCGTCGACGCAGAACGACTTTGCAAACTTCTCAGTCCTCCGGGCTCTTTGGTCTAAAACTAACCCCAAAAAAGAAATCCGATCGAGCCGGATGTCCCACGAGCCTGCCTTTCCCCGACGCCCGGACTATCAACTTCCAAACTCAATTCCGGCCCCGGTCCATGTGATGGTGAGGAGGACAAACGGGCGTGGCCTGACATGAGGAAAGGCTCTCAGAAGAAATCTAAGTTGAGTTGTCGGCTGCAGCAGCTGCATCGTAACGTCAGCGAGGGGTAGTGAGGAGTAAACATTAATAACGAGCTCGGCCTGCATGCTGTGAAACAATAGTTACGACCTCATAATGCCATACTGTTCTAGTCTAGGACAGTACCCTAGGGTAGTGAGTGGAAACTGAATTTCGGTACCACTGGAGATCCTTTGCCTGGGCAGGCATCTGATGCCCTAGTCTACACTTGATTGGGGATGGGCACTTTGACATACTCTGGCATGTGATGAGGAGAAGCAACCCCGTGTTGACATCAAGGTGCCCCATTGCTCAGTCCCGGAAGTAGCGTCTTCCACATCCATCGGCTCCAGAGACAATGTGTATACCACGACGCCATGTCCGAGAAAGGAATGCAGGGAGCAAAACTCTTGATCTGATCTTTCCTCGCATCAAGTTTGGCTCGGATCTGGCATGTCAGGCCCACGGGGATGCGCTAGTGAAGGAACCCACGAGCCCAATCAAGGCTTCACGTGTTGCACCATCCAGGCCTCATCTAGACGCTGAGGTGGACTAAAGCAGTCTCTCAGATGTAATTGGTGAGAGGAGCTGCATGGTCATTGCCTCTGAATCGGACTGCAAACCGTGCGGAGACATGTCCAGGAGCTTGATGGACATGCATTGGATCCCATCCTCATGTGCACGATGCATGGCATGTCACACCGATAACGACATCTTAGGTTCGGGGAGAGTAGCAAGGTGAACGCAATCGCAGTACCGGTCTGATACTTGTCAGTGTCCAGAGTGATTTGAGAGTGGCGTCCTTGACCTCACGACATCATGCCGTTCAGCAGGGTGCTCCAAGAAGTGACAAGTACTGCCCTAGGGTATGCAGCGAGGCACGAAATTGAGTGATCACTTTAATACCCAGACACCTCGTTTTGAATCTGCACAGTTGGGCCTTGTCGAGCACCAGTAGCTCCTCCTATTCGGCTGGCCCGCTGATCCCAACAGAATTTATCGTATGCCTTACCAGTCCTGCTCCACGACATACCGACAACATTTGAAGCGCCCATCAAAGTCGACGATTTTTCTGATCTTTGTCGGTACTTGATGCACGAGCTTCGGATATAGGGGCTCAGGCATATCCGATCGTAGCTAATTGGGTAATGGCGCCCTTAACTTTCCAGGCATGGCGCATGAAGGTTTGAGGGGAATGAAGTCTAACACAGCTCTGGTTACGACCTCTGTCCGATCTAGAATTGGGCCTCACGAGCTAAGATTTCTTCACAGACGTGGAAAAGGGTATCGCTTATTATTGCTCTCTCCACTCTTTTACCCTGTCGCCGTCTCGGGGTAATTTGCACTGTAGCATTCAACCAAGCCCTGAGAAGGTTGAAGCCCTTCCAACACATGTAAAACCACTCTTGACTAGCTGGGCCGCTCTCTTCTTAGAAAGCAATGCTTTGGGCTTGCATTAAAAAGTAGCATCGAGTGCGTGGAGATCTCGATTGATTGATGTAGCAACAAAGAGCTTCCCCAACGCCGCTCTGTCGATCCTGCCCCTGGCTCCCGTCATTTGGCAGCTCTACGTTACCACCACCCATTGGAGCTTCAACTTGAGCCGCACCCATGATCCATGTCTCCCGCATCGAGCCGAAGAGGCTTTTGTGGGGAAATGGCATGGTCGAGAACCTAATTGTGAAATATGGAAGGGCTTGGGCAAGGGTCCCGTTCCTTGAGCTGCTCAGGGTCCAAGACCTCCTTTGTTTGAGCGTTGACACCGTCCTATGCGGCCAACATAACTTTCAGTAATATTTATTGCTAGTGTCTGTTCACCATATTCAAGTCATTAGGTGCCCGTAGCATCGAAGATGTCCGGTCAGTGAAGCATGCAGTGGACTTTTCATACGGACGCGTCCGTCCAACCACTTAGACGATGCCTACCTAAGTAGGTAGAGTGGGGCTGGCGACCACTTCTGCGACCATACATGTTGTCTAGTATGGCGGCCTCGTCATCGAGTGCCCTTGGTGTTTAGTGTTGAGCTAATCCGTGCATATTGAAACCAATGCCGTGAAGTATCACCATGCATTTTCTCTGGTACACAACCCCACGGGCGAGCAACGCCGGATGAGGAAGGACTACAGCGGATGAAGCAACGAGGCGCAGCTCAACGTTTCCGAGATCGCGTCGTGGACGAATCGTTTCTTTTAATCTCCTGAATTGACTTTGTTGGGGGTTTTACGTGGCAGAGAGGGGAAGACGAATACCCGGCTGAAGTCAGGCGACTACATGCGAAAGGTCGAAAGTTGGGTCCTAGTTAGTCCATCTGCGCAGACACCTTGCTGAAGATGGTCTGAGACCAGTGGTATCGGCCCTTTATTTCATCATGTAGACTCCGATCATGCCCCAGTGGTGAATCATGCTCTGGGACGTTGATGAGTGATCCAAGAGTGAGGGGCCGTGAGCGGTGGGAGCCCGGTCTCGAATAGAATAATATAAAAACAGCACCCATCTCGCTTCTAAAGTCGTCTCTTTTGAATATCGCACCATGACCAGAAAAATACAAGTCTACATTCGTTTCAATATCTAGCACCCTGACAGGCCATTACGGCGAGATATTAAATTCAGCAGTCACATTTGCAACATGGGTGACGCACGCTCTATCATCTCGGAGGCACCGAAGGACAGCAACGTCGTCGCGGTAGACGCGTATGCTCTTGTCCAGGCCATCCTCGGCCGTACGGCAGACAAGGCAAGAAGCGACTCTGATCGTACTGAGACCCTTGAGTACGACGATCTTCCAGACCTCCGCAGCGACATGATGCTCTCAACTTTTGACGAGCGCGGCCCCCGCCCTGACCAACAGCCAAAGAATGTCAGAATTGGCTGCGCCAACCCCTATGCCCTTGTGGAGGCCATGCTTGGTCGACGCATTGACCGCAACTCTGTCAATGCATCGACCTTGATCTCTCAAGTCCTGCAGACCGACTACGATGAGCTATTTGACTTGAAGAACAAGTCTGTACTCTACGCCGGCCTGCAGCTCAACGAGAAGGAGCGGATAGCTTCACAGCTCACGGAGAAGGATATTCACCTCCTTAGCGAGCGTGATCTCATGACGCCTGACTTGTCTCGTGTCCAACGTCTACAGGATCTAGAGCAGATTGGTCTCAAGGATCTGAACCAAGTGCATGTCAAGCACGCTCGGATCCAGAACGGCAAGATCCGCCTGGTCATCCAAGCCAACGCCAATGGCAACCGCATTGCTCGCCAAGTATCCAACCGGGAGCTCACAAGGACCATGAACGAACTGATGACCCCGTTCCGACTCAGCGGCAAGGACGACGAGAATCTGCCTGGTCGGGAAGACAACGAGTGGTCGCCTCCCAACGCATCCTGGCGCGACATGTACGACTACTTCTTCCAGAGTGTCAATCGTCGCCTTGTGAACGATGTGACCAACTTCTCCATCGGTGATGGAAGACGTCGCCCCATGCACTTCTTCGATGACCCTACCCAGGGCGCGTCGACGAACAGCTGGCTTATTGCCGCCTTGTTCTCTGTCTTCTGGGCCAGCCCCGCAACCATCAACCGTGCAACTCGTGTGCACCCTCATAGCGAGCGTATGGATGACAATGAGGACAGCCGTCGACGCCGTCACACCCTTCGAGTCCGCTTCCACGACAAGGGAGGCAACAACAATAACCGCACCGAGACGGTTGAGGTCAACTACGAGATCCCCATCACCAACTCCAACAACGAGCCCGTCTTTGCCCGTGCCTCTGACGGCACTGACATTTGGCCTTCCTTGTACGAGAAGGCGTTCGCCAAGTGGATCCTGGGGAGCAACAACAAGAACGAGCACCACCCAGACATTACCTGTACTCACTCAGGTGACCCAATCAAGGCCATGGCTCAGATCAATGGCCGCGACCCGCAGTACTTCCGCTGCGAGAACCACAGTGCCAACGAGCTGCTCGGCGTCGTCCGCCAGAACTGTGTCAACAACAAGGCAAGTCATATTTCTATGCCCCTAGCCATGTCCCAAAGGACAAATGATTAATTTACATGTTACCTTTAGACGATCAACCCAATGTCTGCCTGGACCCACGCCACCGGTCCCATGTACCGCGGCAGCAACCTGGTCGCCAACCACGCCTACTCTATCTGCGGCTACGCCGTGGTCGGGGACAGGCAGTACATCGTGCTGCGCAACCCCTTCGGCGTCACTGAACCGGCCGGACTTACCAGCTACCCAGGCCTGCTCACCCGCATGGACCCAGAGCTGTGGCAGCCCGCGGAGCTCCTCGACCAGGGCGGCCTGTTCGCCCTCGAGACCCGCTCCTTCAAGGAGTGCTTCCAGTACATGGGCTGTGCGAAGTGACTCATTGACGCGTGGTAGGACTCGAACTCTGAAGAGTGGTCCTGCCAAACCCAAACTCCCAGTGCGGCGTGTGTGTTTGCGGATGATGCATCACCTCGGGTGTGTGCGGCGAGTTCTCACGTACCTAGGTATCGAAACTGACCTGGTTGTCCCTCCTTCATGTGGCACTTCCCCTACTTGACCTGATATCGCGGATAGTACTCCCGACTCGGTCATATTGTTTCCTTCCACATCCAAAAGTTATCTGTCATCATTTGATTGGGCTCAGTTGGAAATAGTTTGGCGTAGCATGCGCAAGGCACATCGGATTGTACCGATACGTAGCTAGCAACCAAATTGATAGCCTCTAGCCACCGTAATGAAGATCATTACATGCTGCAAAAAATATCTTCTGTTGATTGAACGTCAGGCCCGTTGGTTGATAAGGTTTTGTTAGCGGAGCGACGCACCACTGACCACATATGGAATTAGGTTCCGCCCGGCTACATCTTCATGCGTTCGAATGTCTCGTTGAATTTTCAGATCACCCTGGGGCATCTACTTGGTCATTATTGCACCCCCCCCCCCCACCTTGACACGGTGAATATGTGAGAAGGCTTGTGTAGTAAGTACTCCCAAGACAAATAGCCCGACTCTATCTAGCAGCCCCGAAATTAATAGATTCAAGCGACTCGGGCAAGTTGAGAGGCCTTAATAAATAAACAGACCTGAACCTTCGATTTTATTGGGTATGCTGTAAATAATCATGGATTCATGAGGTTAACACGCAATACGGTTGTCGATACTGATCCATGCTCCCGTAAAGCTACTAATTATGTGGTCAAGTCTGCTGCTGGACCATTCATCTCCCACCCAGTAGCAGAGACTTGGGGTCATAGCATTGCCGGTCAATTGGTCATATTCTATTCTTGCAGTGTTAACATAGACATTTAAAGATTGAGACTCAACAGTTGTTGGTTACAAACCAAATGCAATCTTGTGGCAACCGCGCTGACGGGGCTGGGCGATTGATTCTGATTTCATAAGGCATAGTAGATCGGCTCCGACAACACTGGTGACTCACGAAAAACAGCGGGGTCAAGCAAAAAAATCACCAATACATTGACAAGATGAAATGCCTCCACAGAGAGCAACCCGTGGACATCGAGTTTGCGAGTACCGGATGGTGTAACTCTGTCAAGGGCCTTGTATCGGATGGAATGTGGCTGACGCTGCTCATCCGCATTGTTCTATAGTCTAACCAGAATCGACGTGACTCGGCGATTCCATTGAACAATTACTGAGACCAGCTTTCCCAGCCTCTATAATGCTTGTATCTTATCAGATAATCACGCGAGTATTTCCATATGCCCTTTCCGCCGGTTCTAAGATGTATGGCCACATCAGTGAGGTTCAATGTCTCCGGCCATCTCGGTTCGAAAGTGATTTACTGGTTAGACGATTGTTGGCGAAACATCGGGGTGACCGCTGTTTAGACCTAAAGGTTTCCTACCGCTATTTGAAACGATGTGGCCAACCTGAAAAGCATTCATCCTTGCCCCATGCACGATATGAACGGCGAATTCTTCGCCAACAGTAGAACAAAGCTCCATTGTGATGGACCACTGCATTTACGAGTCACCTTGAAGTCTGCTGTTTCAGCCTCTTTCATTTTCTTGCTGTGCCAGCTTTTCCCGATCATGCCGAGTCTTTGTTCAATCAAATATGCCTTGGTGAATTATGTGACTAGACTCGGAGCCTACCTCAATGTCTTACCTGGGCAAGGCGTTCCTGTGGCACGCACAGAATTAAATTTCCCAAAGAGAAAGAGGAAATCTATCTTTTCTAGCAACCGCCATATTTTGTTTATTCTTGTTCTCAAGCTGAGTGTGTGGTCAAGTATTCCAGTCAAGGCGAGTCCGGTGAAGTTTCTAGACGCAGGTCAACTCCATGCCAGTGGAAGCGCGCTCGATCGCCGATCAGCTCCGACGGGGAAGAAGCTAAGTCAATCAAATCCCGCAAGATAATATAATTTCTACCGAACATACCTCCATTGCATGGAGGTTTGAGAGTGAGTGGTACGCCTAGCACCATCTGCCAGCGGCCTTGAGGGAAATCTTGTCAGGACGATGATCGACGGGGCGCTATCCGGGATATGTCTCACACTTAACGACGCCCGGAGAATAGATCTCTGTCTCCTTACAGGGATGTTGCCATGATGTTGTGGTAGATTTGCCCATGCATGATATCGATCTTCGTGAAGCCTTGTTCCTGTGCGTATAGTGTCGGATATTTCCTGCGCACCGTCCCCGACCGTCTGGCTGTCCCAACGACTTCGTATCCAGGTAGCAGATTTGAAACAGAGGCGGCTGCGTTGCCGACTCCCAGAGTCGTCCCATTGTCCTTCTGGGGTAGGAGCTCTCAGTCAAAACCCTGCACAGTCGACTTGGCAAAGTATGTGACTAACGGCCAGGCCTGGACTCGACTTTTTGAGTTCTCGTCAATGTTCACAAGGTTCATCGCTGTCGTTGCACCATTACGGCTTTTAGACGGGAGACATCACCTGGTATGTGCCGCCCCCGCCAAGTGCCAGCCTGTCGGAGGTGTGAGGGCCTAGGCGGGTGAACCATCAGGAGCACGGGATGAAGATACTGTGAGATTTCGCAGGCGACGTATTGATGGTCCAGAAATCAAAGACATTTGTCAGAGACACCATTTGGATGGCATTATCACTTAAGTTTTAGACTAATCGTTACATGAGCATTTGCCATGTCGCCTCCAAGGTATTGCTGAGTGTCCCAAATGAAAGCGATAAAATGAACGCTGATTCAGATCGTATATACATGTTGAGTTAGGCAGGTGTCTGCTTCATTCCAGCTCATATCTGCTCGTCGGTCGGGTATTGTCCAACTCGAAAAGACTTTGTGGCCTATCGTTTCTTCTCTTTCTGTGTTCGTGATTCCGCATCTCGCCCGACAGAACTTCCATCCCCTTTCCTTCCATAACACTAGGACTTCGTTCCTCCATCCACGGTGGTTTTCTTGTTGGTGAAACCCCACTCAGTTCCTCAATCTGCATATGATACAGATCTTGACTGGTCAGAGTTGTATCAGTTTCGGACAGTCCCAGAGCTGAGGACCCGAAGAATTTTGGTCTCCCATCGAGTTGCGCAATACCACGACTATTGGATGGTGTTCGTAACGGGGGAGGCCTTAGTGGATGTGCGTGGGGGTTAATCGACATGGCGCTGTCTTCAGGCAGACGTGGTAACCGAGGCTCGCTCAGGTGGCTGCTGGCGACGCTCTGAGAGAACGGCTTGCCCTTCTCCTTCAAGGAATTGTGTCGACGCCAATGACCCAATGTCTCCGCACTGAATGTGCCTAGGATCTCGGATGCGAGTCCGTCTTTGGACGCTGCGGCAGCCGACCCGCTGCCGTACGGCATGTTTCGCGCCCTCCTCCTCGCCCTTCGGCGGCGAAGACAGATGAAGGCGATGAAAGCTAATACAGAGAGGAACACCGTTACGGTTGGGACCACGGCGGCGGCGATTATTGGGCCGGCGAGGTGATCCGTTTCACTCGATCCCTCCGAGTCTGATGTAGGCGTTGCTGTCGCAGTAGCCGGTAGTGTCACCCCATCAGGTAGTGTTGGGACCTAGGGGAGTTGTCAATAAGTGGAATGAAAGACGTAAAGTGTATCGAGAAACATACAGCGGTAGCCAGTGCTGGCAAATTTGTGATTGAAAATGACGGATCATCGATGGTCACCTCCTCCTTCGTGATGAACCATGCCTGGTTGATATCCCCGTTCCCCAGGTCTGGATTTGGCCCCGGAACAGCCAGGTAGGGCTGTTTTGTGTCGTTATACACGCTCATGACCATGCTTGTTCCAACGCCGCCAAACCAATCCGGCATTATCGTCCATGTTGTGCGGTTGTTGATCACGTCAGTGTGATTTGTGAGTCCCCACGTCTGGTTGTACTGCGTCGTGTAGTTCATTAAAAACGGTGCGTAATCCCCTTTCTCGTTGAGAACGGCATCCATTTTCTTTTTCGCGCCCAGCCAGGAGCTCGCGAACCAATAATGGCCTGGATCGTCTGGGTTCTCAAGGACCTGATAGATTTGCCCTAGATACAGCCCTGACGCCGCCATTCCCAACTTGCCATCGGGGATCTGCTTCATATTTTCAGCGTCGACATCGAGAGAGTACTCGCCGCCCAGCGCGAGGTTCGTAAGTCGATAGTACTCGTTTGGGTCAAAGACCCCAGTGGCTTGCGCCGCCATGTCGACTGCCTTTGGACATTCAGGGTCGGGTTGAATGTGAGTCGGGCGGGTGAGAGAAGCTGTCCTGGCAATACTCCACTTCCGAGCGAGAAGGGTGGGCGGCGGACTTATTTTGACTGGGCTCATTAAGGTTTGGCATTCATCCGTGCCATCCTCCCGCTACTTCAGGCACATTGCAGGGCAAAGTTTGTTGCCATAGCCCCTGCTCTGAGCAATGAAACACGCGAGGTGAGAGCCACGAACCTACAAGATCACCCCCTGCTTGCTGTCCCGACGGTAGATGACCTGAAAAACTCTCATGACCTGCATTTTACGAAAGGGTATTTCCGTTCGTGTGATTTCTCTTCCACCGTAGAATTGACATTGTTCACTTCCTTGAGCAGCACTCGCAGTTTTTGACCATCGACAACCCTTGACCAAGTCATAAATGACAATTCGGAGGCCACAGACAGGATGTATGGTGCACGTGTGATTGTTGAGCCCCCTGGCCAGCACCTGGCCGTGTCAACACGGCTCACTCTACCGGACCTCCAGGATCATGCTGGCTGGCGACGCTAGTCACGGGGCGTCTGTTCCCAACGGGCACTGTGACCCGTTTTTCAGCGGCCCAATCGAAATCGGAGATTTTATCCGCAGGGCGTTCTCTGATAAATTCATCTTAATAACCTCATACCAGTGCAGATCCCTCTTCTTCTGTGTCAAGCTCGCTTCAATGACAGATGCCTCGCATCAACCGCGATGGTGGTCTCCGTCGGCGTTTCACTATTGTCCGGCCCACAACTCCAAGCCCTCCCTACTACTAAGCATGCGCTATTGTGCTATCTTGGGTTCATACTCCGCCGCACCCGACGATACTAGCACGGATTTGCATCGATCCAGGCCAGAAATTCCCTCCATTGACGCCTAGTGGACAATGGCTAGGGGCCTGGTCCATTTTTACCCCCGGGGCTCCCGCGTGTCGATCTCCTACGAAACAGGACTGCCGAAAAGGATGATGACTACTATGTACGGAGTGCCTAGGTGTTTAGTCCACTGTGTCCTCTGCCAAGCCACTGCTTTTTCTCACTGCAGCGAAAACGCGAAACCGAGGAATGCTTCTCATTCGAAGTCCGAGGTCGACTAAATGGCTTGCCCTCATGCATTCGAACGTGCATTGGCCGTCACGTCAGAGGCCTCACTGGGTAAGGTTCCGAATAAATATGCCAGATATCCAACCACCACGCCAAGCCCCGGTGGAGAAACCACACCACCAGTGCGAACAACGGGACGATTGTGGGCGGAAACCGGAACGGGAGAGGAGAGGGCTAGGGTAGAAACCTAAAGCTCGGTGGCTTTGCAGCGTTCGTCCAAATCTTTGTCGGGCCCCATGCACATAATGTGTGATGATTGAGGAGGCCACAAAGTCTAAATGGTGGTCTGCGCGGGCCGGGGCGACACCTAGATACCACCATCCCCTTCCAGCATTCCCAGGTCGAGATTAGCCGTAGTAAAGTCGAAGAATATCCGGGGACAGCCTTCCTGGCCTCGGCTCGGAGAAGTGGCTTGGGACACGTGGTGTACACTAGATTGGACGCCCACCTGGGCCCGGTTACAAGAGAAGATGCCTTGCATGTGGACAATTGCTGTGGAGCACATGAGACCGTCGGCAGCAAACCGGGGTCGACCTGTAAAATCTTCCTGTGATCAGCGGTTCTTTCCGCAAACACGGATCTAGTCGTCCTGAAAGTGCGGAGGTAGTGTTTGCCAGCCTAATAATTCCGCGCTTTCATCCGGGATCAGCGCGGCCAGACTATGAAGGCGATTGATAAGAGTGAGATCAAACTGAAGACATGCCGATAACTGAGCTCATTGGAATTACGCAGCGAAGACGAGAGCGGTCCAGGATTGCTCATTTTCTTAGCATTTCTCAACCTACTGGGTGTCCTTTGTCTTCAGCCAAGTCCGGGGACAATAGGCCCCAAAACTCCACGCGCTAGACCGCCTCACTCTTCCGATACCGTGGCAGATTCAATTCACGATAAGCGTCCCATGGGGGGATGTTTGAATGAAGTACGACTCCACAACTTGAATACCCCAGTGCCCACTGTTACCCGCGTTACCCAGCAGGGGGTTCAGTTGAACAAAATTGAGTTGACCCGGGGTTCGAAATTTCCAGCGAACGCATAAAGGACGGAATCACCATCATCTGGAGTATCAAGGGTATCAAACAATGCATCTCTGGTTCCGGCCTCGGCTCCGATAGCTGGCACCGAAGTTGCTGCAAGGGCGGCCGGTGCCTCCGAAATCTGAGGATGGCCTGGTTCAAGAGCAGTTGGTAGATATGGGACATCCTGACGCTCGAGAGGCCAGGGTGTTGTCGTCATCTTCACCGCACATAAGCGAAGACGTCGAACTCTGATGCTCCAAGACTCGAGGGCGCGAGCATAGTTCAGCGCCGACTCGTTCAGGGATCAGGCCGGCACAGGTATACCCTGTAATGTGGGATGGACGGCACCCGGGGGCCTCGGGTTGGCTCTCCTCCAGGGCTGCGATCAGGTGAACGCGTCCTGGTGACCCTATTCGACCTTGCGCCGGCACGAGCACCGAGCTTATCAACTATGATCGCTTCTCGGCATATACCATCGAGAACCATGTGGGCGGATGGCCCAGGCTTTGTTTTTGACCGCCCAGGCGTGCAAGGGCAACCGCCGACGCACCCAGTGCTTTGATTTCCGCCAAATCGTTCAGCCTTTTGAGTCTCGCCAGGGGCATTGAGGGCGCGCCTTGGGCAAGAATGCCAAGTGCGCTGTGCTAATCTATTGCGTAGCAGTACAACTACGAGGCGTTAGCTGGGCGGGCGTACATTTTTGCCTGGCTGTTGTCCCAGCAATGCAGGGGGGAGTCGTTGTGGCGGGCCAAGCCCTCGGCTCTGCTTGGTGTTGGTCAGTGGAGTCGAGGGGAGTCGTTTGGCAGGCAGAAACCCACGGCATTTCTTAACCCCCTGGATACACTACATCCGCCTCTCAGCCGAATTTGCTGAGCCATTGTAAAGCCTGTCATCTAGAGATTCATGCTTGCAAGTGAGGAGAAATGCTGTTCATGGTGGCCGACAATCTCCCATGATAATCCCCAATTACTTCTGTTCCTTCTCCAAAGGCTACGGGAGCCGTCTGGTCGTCGACCACGTGGCTTGGCTTTTCACTGTGAAACGATGTCACGGTTGCAACACAGCATGAGGCGTAGCATTCTGAGGGCGAACGTGCCGTTCAAGTCAGGGCAACGGGAAAAGCCTTTCGCTGGGCACTTGAGTGCGGATAATGCGGAAGACCCGACGACTCAAGTGCTCTGTCTGTGTTTATCTGTACTGTCGCTGGAACAATGTCAGCCCGACACCCTCAAGGCCAATTGATAGTCCACGGCGATCAGGTCATTCGCTTAAGATACTGAGTCTTCGTATTTCTCGGGAAAGACTTTTAACTACCGAACTCGCCGTTGGAAAAGTGGGAATACGGCAGTGCGCCGTCATAGCAACTGGCCCACAATTGCGGGATGGTGTTCCAGCCGTCAGTGAACGACAACCTTGGCTCTGAAGGGTAGGAGCCGCCCTCGGGGATTCGGTACGGCCCGTTGGAGGCGTTCCAGCCTCATTATCTTGTGAGTGGCCAACTGGGTTGATCTGACGGGTCGTGGCTGAACACCTGCCCAGGTGGGCAGCAAATGGCTTGAGCCCCCACCGGCTGCACGACCAAGATCATAGAGACAGCTTGAGATAATTCGCGCAGGTGTTTTGTGCCAGTATGCTGCCAACCCTGGCCCGTGTAGATGGTCTGTGTAGTCATGGGCCGTGGCCACAATAACTCGCCGTCGTTACGCTCCGAAGACTGCGATGTGGTGTGATGGCTACCCGCAGGGCATGTAAAGTGCGCCTTTGAGCTTCGGCGGTATCTAGAAAATCCTGATTAACTCGAAGGCCCATATACATGCGCCATTTTTCTCATTGCATGTGAGAATTGAACAGTCCGCCTTTTCGGCTCATTAGCACCTACTTCAGGTATGTGAGCTGAATCACAGTCACGTGAACCAGGATTCCGAAGCCCAGAAGCCGCGGAACTTGATTTCTCTGATGCGAAGTGATCGCCAAAGAGTAGCATATTAATAGAGACGACAGGTTCGAAGGCTAAAGTAAATAGCACCGTAAAGTATCAAGAATCAGTCACGTACCAAATGGCCATGAAATACGTCCGTGTTCGGGCTGGAGACAATAGATTTCCCCTTCATGTGCTGAAGCGTAACCTCATCTATGCATTGGTGTATCAGAGCTTGACTACATGGATGGGCGTTTTCCATTGATCACTCAATCTATACGCCTACTGCTGTCATACTCATCGATTAGATGTTACACTGACTTTCAAGTTTAGTTGCCATACAGGCTGAAAGCCATATGTCACCAATCCAGCTGCCCAATTTAACGAGTCCCTTCGACACGAAACCACCTTCTCCATTGTGACATGCACAATCCCGGCTTTCTCATCCCTTGATTGGGCCATAACTTTCCTGATCATGGGTCAGCATCTGCCATATCCTGCTTGTACCTCTGAATACACCTATCCTTGCTCTCCTTAAAATCGACATGAGGCGCGGGATAACCAAGTTTCTCGAATTCACTTTTGCTCAGGCGGCCGTGCGGATCGAAAATTGCCTTGCCCTTAACATCCTTCAGCTCTGGCACCCACTTTCTGATGTACTCCCCGTCAGGATCACACTTCTCCGCCTGCACCACGGGGTTGAAAACCGTGTAGCTAGGCTCCCAGCCCTGCGTATTGTTGCTCAAGTCCCAGTCCACCAGCGACTCTGCGAAGAACCTCTCGCCCCTGCGGTAGTCGATCAGCAGGTTCGTGCGCAGATAACTGCTGGTGTTCATCCGCAGCCGATTGTGCATATAGGCTTCCTCCCGTAGCTGCCGCATGCCCGCGTCCACGAAGGGCATCCCCGTCTTACCCTCGCACCACTTGTTCCACCCTTCCTCGTCGTCCTCCCACTGCACGAAGTCAAACTTGAGGTTGTGGGGCAGGTTCATTGCGTCGTGAGGTGTGACACATAGCATGTGTCTGTAGAACTCGCGGAATACGATCTCCCTGACCCAGCTTGATATCCCCACGTCTCCCGAGTCGAATTCCTCGCCGTCGTTTGCGTCCACTACGGCTTTGAGTGCCTCGCGGACTGAGATTACGCCGGATGCGAAATATGGAGAGAGTCGACTGGAGTTGTCCGTGGCCGGCGTGGATCTGTTTTTCTTGTAATTCTTGACCTTCTTTGACAGGAAATGTTGAAGACGCTTGATCCCGGCCTCGTGCCCTGCTGGCCAGAGTTTTCGGATGCGGTCCCTGTCTTTCGTTGACGCAAATTGCTTTGATTCTGGTGATTCCGGAATGGTGGAACTGAACAGGTCTTTCAAGTCTGACTTGGCTGCCTTATCATTCGCCTCCGGAGTGTCGACCACGCTGAGGAGCTCTGGATCATTGGCGACCTCAGCCAGCCACGCTTTATGATATGGTGTGAACACTTTAATAGGGCCACCAGAGCCGGTGGTCAAGACTTTGGGTTCCATCACAGTCTGATCATGCATCACATGAAGCGATGCTCCTAGCTTCTTGTCGGCCAGTTGACCGACTAGGTCTATGTCTCTTCTGAGCTCATCAACTTCGTATTCAAGGTTGGCGAACACGTGGCTGACGTTATGCTCCTGGACAAAGTCCAGCACTTTACTTCCTTTCTCCCCTCTCTTGTCGGCGATTAGAACAACTAAAGGAATGTTCATATCATGCAGTTGCTCTTGTAAGATTCTTAGCGACTCCAACAAGAAATCCGTTCTCGCAGGGCTGGTTCCGTGCCACTCCAATTCCTTTGGCGACCATAGGAAACATGTGAGGAGATGTCCATCGCCTTCTTTGGCCTTCTTAGATGCCTGAGCCAACGCTCTATTATCCTCGGCCCTGATGTCTTTGCTTCGAAACCAGTGCAGGATATTTCGTGGCTTTTGGTCGCTCGTCTGCTGGTTCACTTTCTTGAGAAGCTCGTCCAGAGGTGGGTGCGTGTCAATCTCCTTAGCTCGTTTAGTTGAAGGGTGCTTGAGCCCATCTTCATGGGACATCGAGCGCTCGTGTCGTTTCGACATTGTTGATTTCCGGCGAGACCGAGTTTGCTGTATACAGCCAAAGATTGCTACAGGTTGTAATGGGTAGGCGTTGCGAAGAGCAGTAGTTGACGGCAAGCAATTGGGCTTCAAAAAGCCACGGGTGAGGGTTTCTGTCTGGAGCTTGAAAAGTCGAACTCGAACATTAGACATTGGCAGTTGAGGAATGGAGAGACCTGAACGTCAAACGATTTGCGATGTGTAAGGTATATCATGTTAACAAATTAATAAATATTGAGACTGAAAAGTCTATGACGCAACGGGCGTGAAGCCCCTTGAACTACGGCTAAGCTCTAGCCTCCCGGCACATTCAAAGAACAGGCCGCACCTAGTGAACTTCCCCAGTGGTTAAAAAATGCCAAGACGGCTGCTAGCACGTCCGCAAGTTCGTCTCACCCAGTGTAGGGCAATCTTCTCGAGAAAGCTTTGTGGAAACTCCAATCTGCTCATTTAGATCTCAGTGCCTAGCCTAGGGTACCCTAGGGTACCTAGGTACCTAGGTAGCTACCAGGATGAAAAACAGATTCAGAAGGACTTATCCTGCACACTTTGTACCATTTCCATTGGCCCGTGACTTCCCCGAATACTTGTCACAAAGCATACATAGTACGTGGCCATATCCATACACTGGTGTCGATTCAGGGCGTTCCGGCTGAACATGGGACGCCACTCGCAGGATGCCAGTGTTATCGTGGTTTAGCTAAGGTATTGTTTTAGGGATGCAGAGACTATGCAGTGGTCCATTTTGAGCGACATTGTTGGCCTTGGAATAAGAATCATTCTAATATGCGCATTTGATGATAGCCGGATGCCTAGGTGGTTAAGTGGCCGGCTATCTGCGCCTTTTACCGGCGTTTTGAAGCGGAAACGGATTTGGCTTCAGCTAGGAAACTTCCAGCATAGCAATGAATACCCAGAGCCACAATTTGAAAGTGTTTCGCACTTTTCAACTTTGCCGGTCTCACAGTGAAGAAGATGATTGTAGGGGCACAATAAGCGCTTGTCGCTGTGTTCCCCAACCTCTTGACGGCTACTTCCCTCTAGCAACCCAAGACATTAACTGACACTTCTCATACCCCCATATGGAGGCAGCTCAAATCAATTAGACTCTACTTTTTTATTAATAAAGAAAATTAAAAGGAACTTCTTTATAGTTAAACTTTTCTATAAGTTTATTTATTCAACTAATTTGTTAAATGGATAAATAATACTCTATTTAGTAAGGCTTTTATTAAATTTTAATTTATTATTACATTATTACCTACCGGGGGGAGAGAGGTAAATTAAATTTATAATATAATTATTTTAGAATAATATTAATATTCTTTTAAAATATAAATATATTATTAATATAACTATAAGATATTTAAATTATATAATACTTTTAATTTAATATTATTTACTTATTAATATATTTTTAATATACTATTAAAAGCTTAATATATAAATAAAAAGGGAGTTTAATTCCTATTAAAATTAAGTTTTCTTTTTTTATTTTTAATTTAACTATTTATTAGTTAATTTTTAACTTAATTATTACTATATATTAAGTCTATAGAGCTATAAAGTTAAGGAAATATAGAAATCTTATTTCTTTATTAACTTATAAAATCTAAAATTAATAGATTTAAAAATTCTAATATAATATTAAAACTTAATATAATATTAACCCCTTAATAGATTTTATTTATAATAGTATTTTATTAGCTTTTTACTAATATTTAATTATAATATCTAAATTTTATTTAAATATTAATTTTTAATATAATTATATACCTATATTAGGGACCCCCCCTCCCCCTAGTAGGTATGCTGTAATGATGTTTGAAAAGGCAAGTAAAGGTCATGGTGACTCTCTCCTGTGCCCACCCACAAAAGCAGGGCATGGTTCCCGTTGATCTCACGTTTGCCTTCACTGGGTTGTTAACATTTGCCCGTTTACCTACTGCGTAGCTTGAACCAGGTAAACCAAGCCCCATTGGCTGCTTCGCTGCTAGGACAACAAGGGACAGCCTCCACTCAGTCCCCCGCCTTGGTTGAAAGCAAACAAGCAAACTGTTTCGACGCCAACCCTCTCTCAACCACGGCCCCCTCCCGCCTAGACTCGAGACTTCCCAGCAGTTCGAGGGAATCGTTCCTGCCTTCTTCGATCCCTTTTCCTCTTCCATTGAAATTTCTGCGCCAATCCTGACGGGCATCGGCCTTCCCAGGCCACCTTTCTTACAGTCGCGAGCTGCACTGGTACCAACCTTGGGACTTCTCTCGCCCCTTGGCTTGATCGACCTCATTTTTTGAGCTCACTCGCAAAAGCACTCGCAGTATTCCCGACCCCTATCCCCACCAACAAAAGGCAACCGACGATGGCCTCTGTTGAAGTTGTGCCTTTCCTGGCCGACACAAGCGGCGCCTTCTCCCAACTCCTCGCCGCAGAGCACACTGCGCAAACAGTTCAAGGATGGATTCGAGACAAGGAGGTTGCAATCAGAACAATCAAGAGACAGGCAATTGACCAATATATCCCCTTTTCCACCATCTACGAACACGTTAAGCAGCTGGAAGGGGATGTCAGTCTTTTCAAGCGATTGCTGGAGTCTAACGAAGCATCGCGGGCCCACTGGCGGCGGGTGCACACCAAGATTTGGCGAGGAACTTGCAGGCCGCTGAAGGTCATGGACCTCCCCACCGAGATTCTGATGAAGATATTTGGCCAATTCGAAGACATGCCCGTGTTTCAATTCGGCACTGCTTACGAACCGCCCCCAATCAGGCCGGATGTTGCAAGCCTCAAGAGCATTCGACTGACCTGTCGAGCGTTTTGCGATACAGCCTCAAAGTTTCTCCACCCGATAGTCGACGTATTCTTCACGCGATCCGGTCTTGAGCGCCTCGAAGACATTGCGAGTCACTCTAAATTTTCGAAGGGCGTGCGCATCCTTCGGGTCCATACAAATCCTTATAACTCTTCACTTGTCAGCGACAGGGACGTCTTTGACTCAGAAACACACAATCGAATCCGTCAGCTCGCGCGGGAATTTAAACTTAAGGAACGGAACACTCGTGTGAGAGTAGCCGAGATGTGCCGTTTAGAAGGGGTCCAAGTCTCTCCCGACCCCCACCTCATCCGAGCCAACGAGCTCGCTGCGGCCTCGCAGCAAGCTCGACGATCGGCGGCTGCATTGGCTAGGATTTTCAGAACCCGTGCTCGAGGTCGTCAGGGCCCAATGACCCACTTTGATCACGAGATGACGAAGGCCATTGATGAGGTCTACGAGGAATACGGACGGATGTATCTGGAACAGCGGGACTTCATGAACGACCGTCAGGTGTTGACTAGAATCGTCATCGCTGTGCAGAAAATGCTGTGCATTGAGGAACTCATCATCCCCGACGCAGGGGCTTATAGATGGGATGCATGCGATCGTTTCAGGGGTGGATGGAACAACCGCTTGGACGTCCACAAGTATGAATCCAGCGTTCTCAGCACCAACCCATTTTGGGACCTCATGATCCGAACCGGTGATGGGAAGAGTACACAGCTGCCACAGTGGGATGACAAAAGGCATTTCACCTTGCTACATGACAGAAGCCCGTTCACCTTGGTACAGAAGTTACCTTATATGCTTCAAGCTGCGAACCACAATCTGACGCGACTCAACGTCAACTTACCGCCAATCCAGGGCCATCACATCGCAGCCTTTGCGGGTCACTATGCAAGTCTTCAAGAATCCTGTCGAAATCTTACGGAAATCCGAATCACAGTCACGGGCACGACCTCGAGCGATCCTACGCTGACCCCAACCTATACAATTCTGGACAAATTGTTGAGTTCTCTTGGCCTCGAGGTCGTTAGGCTTTGTTACCGATGGCAGGAAAGTGATACTGGACTGTTTTCGTTTGTCGACGAGCATTCCAGCATTGGTCCAGTGCTTGCAAAGCTGCCTTGGAACCGAATTCGGGACCTTTGGCTGGTCGGATTCCCAATTCGGGTCGAGGAGCTACGGCAGCTCATTAATAAGGTGCCGGGAAAGATAGGCCTTGAATTGTGGAAGGTGTATCTGATGGATGGCTCCTGGGAGGAGGTACTTGAGATCCTGCGAGGCAAGGTTGACGGCTCCTCGATAATTTCGGGGCCTCGTGGAGCTCAGCTGAAACCTATGTCTGCAATGGCAGCCCAAGAATTCATTGGCGCCGGCTGGTATTCCTCTGATCAGCGATACCCAGGGCCGGCATCATTCTACATACGGGGTGCAGATATCCCAAATCCATTGAGAAGTGTCGAAGACTCATCCGACGATGCGCAAAGCCATGAGGAAAATCCAGTGTGACCAGGTACTACGACTCAAAGCCAAGGCCGAAGGTATGTGTTGGAAGGAAACTGTACCATGCTGATTTCGAATACGGTATCATGACAACCTTGGAAGGACAGAAATGGCATGCCTTGGACCCGAACATGTGAACAAGGATAACGTGTTTTCGTTGCTTGGAGGTTGGTTCCATGATCGTTGGGTCCATGGTGACGGGGGAAAATAGATGCAGCTGGCACTTGGCATGTGCAAAGCACGAGTGCACATGCTAGCACCGAGCCCACCTGAGCAGTGTACGGGCACACACGAGTATGCGAAGAGGATAATATAGGTGGAATGACCGCTGTGTACCTAGTTAGATGGAAAAGTAAAAAAATATGTAATTGATTCCCAATGCGTAATTGTACCATGGTTCTTTTCTATGTCATCGCTAGGCCTGAGGTCTTGCACGCAGAAACTCCCTGATGAACGGAGTTTGTAAGGAGACCTTGATTTCAGATTTGTGTTAGTTTGGAGCGAGTACAGGATATCCAATGTCTCGTCCTAAACCCTAAAGTCCTTCTGGAACTGGTCACCTACGTTGTATTTCTCACCTGTCTCGCAACATGTGAGTTGGCACAGGATTTCAAAAACAGTGTCACTCCCTATCAAGACAACCCTGTCTATGTCACCCACTTGTCCTAATAGACACAGGTGGCAGATGGCAAACATTCCAACTCAATCCTGGCTCCAAGCCGGAATGAGCTTCGTGTGCACAAACTCCTCGGCTCAATCGCGTCTCACAATCCATTTAGATCAGAACTGGAGTGCAAACACTTTTTGGACATGTGCCATCGGACAGATGTACTGGCTGAAGTGTGAGACAAGGCTTTCACAGGAGTAGCTGCCTGGTTTCGCATCTATTCCGTATACATCCCGAAGTCATACACGACGCCTTCATACAGTGGTATCACAGGAGTAAATGTAGCTAGGTAACGAATAGGGGCAGCCACTGCTCCCGACGTCTAGACTGTCACAATGGCTGATGTTTTGTCGAGCACAACCCCACCCTCTCAATTTTATGCGAAGGTACAATGTGTGTCCTGTGATACGGAACTTGACACTGCGCCTGCTGAGGCATAAATACAGCGAGGCCACCCACCGAGCCCAAACAATGGCCTGCGTTCGAACTTGATCACACAAACGGACAACAGCCCTCATCATGTATCTCACAGTAGTATCGACATTCTTGACCCTTCTAACCACAGCCCACGCCACCCCCGCCTGGTCAGCCGGGCTTCCGCGCGGGACACATGCACCACCACCAAAGAGCTCCGAGTTCACCCTCGCCATGAACATGAGCGGCTACCTCGTCCCCCTGACCGCCGCCTACTTCGAGAGCCGAGGCGTGCTGCTCCGGGGCACGGGCACGCATGACCCGGACCCAAAGACCACAGGCATGTGATTTCCTTTTCCTCTCTTTTTCGAGTCTCTATATGATGGCTGCAAATCTATCCCACCATTCACCACCGGGCTGACCATGACCGATACGCAGCATACAAGAACACGACCGTCTCGGACGAGAAGGACCCCTTCCACGACGCGGTGATCCTGGACCTCACCGACGACCCCTACGTCGCCGCGCCGCCGGGCGTGTACGGGCTCGCCGTGGCCGACCCGGGCGGAAGCCACGGTTTCGCGAGCGAGGTCATGGCTACCATTGACCAGCAGCACTTTGACTTTTTGATCGCCGATGGTAGGTGCTTGTGTGCGTGCTGGAGAGAGGGGAGGGGGGCCACGCTGCCATCGGATGGCAAACAAATCGTGTCTTCGCCCTGCTAACATGACGGCGGTGTAGGACAGGTGGGCCACAAGATGACGTCCGCTGCCCAGGCGTGGTTCGCCTGCACGCGCACCATCGAGGGGGTGAGGGGGGCTTTCCTCAGCTGGGGCACGTATGCGGCTAACTATTCGGCGCCGTATGGGTGCCACTCGACAAGCTTCGTCATCCAGGTCTCTAATCTTACCCGGCGGGCTGGTTCGCGCTGGCCCTAGGTACCTAGGTAGGAACTGCGCCAGCGGCAGTCAGTAGGGGGGCGGCAACAGCACGGGATTTCGCGGACGTTTGTGGAGACAGACTTTATGAAGCCCGGGTGCTATATCACGGCGGAAATGATTTGAGTGGTGGCTGCGGCATGGAAGTAGGTAGATTGTCAACCTGGAGACTATGAATCACATTCCAGCACCGAAGGACGCTATTCTCTGTTCCTTGACTGCTCAGGTGCTCATCTCTCACACTTAAGGTCTATCCATGTCTCGTAAGTCTCAACCGGCGAACGCATCCATTTCACGGTACCAAGAAAAGTATCCAGAGATGTATGTGTGAGTTGTCACAGTCAACGATCCCCAGGTTGGTGACGTCCATCCCTGGGTGACCAGCCCCGCACGACGCTTGTAATGTAGTTCCAAGTGAAGATGGCCGTCAAAGATGGCGATATGCAAGGTGCGAAATAACAGGAGGTACGCAGAGTGCCGCCTGAGACTACCTTGGCACAAAGCGTTGCACGTCGCTTGGATCCAGGGTTCAGCAGCGATAAGACAGCTCTATCATACCCTCGGAAGAAATCCTGTGGTGCCTGAGAGATAAGAGTTCTGTTAGCCAGGTAGATTCAAGCTGAGGACTCGATGGCTTGGCTGACCTGGACTTATTGAGACCATGTCTCGCGGTTTTCACCTCAGACGAGCACGTCGCCCTCGGAAGTGCGCCGGAACTCGTGTCACATCTCTCACTGGTTTGTATCCCTAGTCCTTCGCGGGACAAGATCGTCTGGACCGCTGATCTGGCAGGCCATCGCTCAATTGACGCGCAACCGTTCCATATCTTCTAGGACATCTTGGTCAAGGTTGCCGTCTTTCTCGTCCCGTTTCTTCCAGTAGATGCATGTGCTCGAAAAGGAGCTGTAGTCGTCCTGCGGGAATGGGAACTTGTCAAAAGCGGCATCCATCTCTCTGACGCGGTCAAAGTCCGGGCTTTTATCGGCTCCAGGATTCCTGCGATGTTGGTCAGTTGTGCCCAGATCAACAATAACTCATGTGCTGGGGCAGTCTCACTCCTCCCAGACATCCCAGCCGGTACCCACGCACATCGCGGGCAAGCCATTTTTGAGTGCGTCTGCCCAGATGTCGCGGTACAGGTGCACGCCAAAAACAAGAGTGGTGTCGTTGATCAGCTCGTAGGCACCGGGGGAGTCTACTGTTTTCCCACCTAGGCTTGTTAAGAATTCCTTGTCCGGTTGGGCGAAGCGTGGCTCTTGGTAGATTGTCTCGATGTCTTGGCCACTTTCCGACCCTGCCCACACCCATTAGCTGTCTATCGCCATATAGAGGCTAGAAGAGTGGACACTAACTGAGAGCATCTACGATGGCCAGGAAAGCCGCCAGCTGGGTGTGAGAACGGCGCTGGGAGGACCAGGAGCCGTCTTCGGGGTCGAAGGCGCCGATGCCCAGACACACGGCACGGGTGACATTCTGATGAGACACGGAATGGTCGTTGATGGTGCTACATAGTTGCTCATAGCCCTCTGTTGTGCGCCACCTGGAAGCAATCTTGTGGTGGTCGGCCTTGATGTCATGGACGGTGAGCTTGGGCGACCTGTTTGGGTGGAAGTTTTCAGGTGGGCCGCCCACGGGCAATGAGAGGATCTCTTCCTTCCTGCCTAGCTTCTTGCCCTTTCCCTTGCGGACGATGCGTGTCCATTGTGATGGATCATCTTCTGAAGAAGCCATCACGATCACAGGCCAAGCGCGAGGCCGACAGATGCTACGCTGTCTGGGTCTTTCGTCTAAGTGAAATTCTTGAGCCGCCATGTTCTGCGGGAGGCGCGATAAGAGCCCGATAAGGCAGTCTGACTGGCTACCGTCCTTGCTGAGTCATCTGGCTCTGGACAGGAGGTAGCTTCCTTCACTCGTCTTCCTACCAAGGCTGGTCAAGGTAATAATGTGTTTTCAATTTTCTGCCTGTTCATCTCTCTCGGGATCTATTTCCCGACAACCGCAGTCTTGATGTCAAAATTTGGGCAGCATCGGGGCCCGAGGAAAGAACCAAGCATCGCCCAGGCTGCATGAGCTCTCTTCCTTGTCGCACGCGTCCGGCAGCCGACATCTCGAAGAACACCCATGTTTGCGTTGGAGATATGACGTCCACTTTGTCATATTCTGATGCCTTTGGCCAGCCTCGAACCGGAATCCGATTGCCTGAGTGCTCAGACAGAAAGAACCACATGCGATCCTCGCCCGCCGTCAGCTTACCGTGCAGCACTGAGGCTTCCCCTGACGCATCGCCCTGACTGCTCTGCCAGATGGCCATCGCCAGGAGTGCATGCTACCAGAGTTCTGGAAATAGCTTCTAGCGTCTCTTCGACAGACAAGAGGGCAAGGGGGAGATTGCGTCGCTGTTTCGAGTTCAGGGCCACAAGTACGACGGTGCTCTTGGGCATTCCGACTTGATGTGCCGCTACACAGGTCGACCAATGGCCGCATAGCCTCCCCAGTACACCATGGCAGCAAACTCAACGGCTGGACGGAGTACAGAGTACAGAAGAGTACTCCGTTCATGGTACTCCGTCCAGCTGACACCTTGGGGCCGCCATCTCGCCCCCGGTCGCACTGCATCGTTCGTTTGTGGTCAAGCATGCCATAGTGTAGTACAAACTAGCCTGGCTAGTCATACAAAAAGACACAATAGTACGGTACGCAGGCGATGGCCCCCTCCCCTGCCAAAAATAGCCCCCACTTTTATTTACCCTTGGAGAGTGCTTGCAGATCTTTAGCCCCGCGGGTCCCTGGCGGGAGAGCCTTGGGAAAAGGTACGCGAGCACCGAGTACAGATGTACGTACCGCAGGCGAAGCTGTCGGGCGCTTAATCGCCGCCAGCAACTGGTCCGTCGGGTGACCCGCCACCCAAGCTCCCGCGAACGGCTGCCGCGGAGGCAGGGAGGGAGCTGCCGCAACCAAGCCGTCCACGTCCGAGCTGTCGATATGGACCCGGTCTTGCTTGGCTCCTCGAGCTATCGTCCAGCAAGTCAGTCTGGCAGTCTGGGTTTCGCATGGATCTCGGGGCTTCTCGAACGTCCTTGACACAAGTCTGAAGCCCTATCCACGACCATCAACCTCACGAACCGGGTCCCTGAAAGCGGCCGTCACACCGGGCCGGCCGCTCGATTGGTCGCATGCACGCACGTTGTTGGTGATGGGGGATGGGGAGACACGGGCGGGGGATTTTTCAAGGTCTGGGCGGCCCAGCGAGTCGCCCTCCCGAGGGTGCTCAACTGCTGGAGGTGCTGGAGATGTGCCTGTCGCCAGCCGCCATTGGCTGGGCATCACCTCGACGGCAGGGACAGGGGCTGTGGAGCTGCAGCTGCGTGCACACCTCCTCTGCGACCTGAGTGGCCAGAGCCTCGTGGAGGAGCCGCCCGGGTTGCATCTGGCCCAGATTGCCGTCCAAGGCCAACGACTTGCTGCCTGCGCAAGCTGCGGAGTGCTGCCCACTGCCCCAGTCGCCCCGCCCCAAAGTGCTTGCTGCCACAGCCTGCCAGCCAGCCAGCCTGCAGAGCATGCAGTCCTCGCCTCCCTCTCTCTGCACGCCTGCTCGCCTGCTCGCCCGCCCTCCCACACGCCACGCCGAGGTGGATGGCACGATGCAACTCAGCTTCGGCGGCTGGACGCGCGAGGTGACAGGGCTAGACCGGTTGGGGGGGCAAGCTTCGCTGCTTCGGCCCACCTCACTGGACGGCTGTTCAGCCCAGTCCCCTCCGTGACCCGGAATTTGCCCATGCAGGTGGGTGAGAAAGAGGTGAGATGCCATAGTATCCTGCGTCTAATATTACCCTTGGCTGCTGCTCTTCTTATTCCGACTTACTCGTTCCTGCTTTTCACTTTTCCAACTTCAAGATACCCATAAACACATCAAGATATCATAGAAAGAAGTATCTTTCTATCCCGTTTTCTCGTCAGCGCCCGTCAAAACTCACCTTGCGACCGGTGGACCAGCGTCCCCATATATTGCAATCAAGGCGAACGGATTTGGACAGGAGGGATCAGGAACAAGTTGCTCTAAAGCAAGACCAAAAATCCGAGTAACGAGGCCGAGGAGCACAGCTCGGGGCAAATACAGCTCGAGATTCGAGATTCGAGGATCGTCGGCGGGAACACACAAACTCACCTCCCGAGGTCATACGCACGCGCGCACACACAAACACAATGTTCACCTCAACATTACTAGCGCTCCTCAGCGCAGCAACACTCTCAACAGCACACACCGTCCTCACATACCCCGGATGGAGGGGTGACAACCTCATAACAAATGAGACTTTCCCATATGGCATGCAATGGATGTACCCTTGTGAGTACATCAACGCCCCATTGTCGGAGGCACATTACACAGTCCCCTCATCGCCTCCGCGACACCGGCGTGACCGCCACCGAACACATAGACTGACATGAAACCCCCCAGGCGGCGGCTACCCAACAACAACAAACCGCACCTACTGGCCCACGACAGGCGGCGCCGTCGCCTTCCAGCCGGGCTGGTTCCAGGGCCACGCCACGGCCTTCCTCTACGTCAACATGGGCTTCGGCACCGACGGGCCCGGCGGCGGGCCCATGAACATGAGCTTCCCCATGGTCCCGCCCTTCCAGATCCTCGGGCCCTCCAAGAACCCCTACCCGGGCACCGTGTGCCTGCCCCAGGTCCCGCTGCCGGCCAACACCACGGTCCAGCCGGGTGACAACGCCACCATCCAGGTCGTCGAGCTCGCCGTGCATGGTGCCTCGCTCTTCTCCGTAGGTGTTTTGCCCCTCCCCCCCACCAACTCCCTTGCTTGCTCGAGACAAAAGGGACGAAGAGATCCCAGAGGGTCCTCCAACACTACCGCAGCCGTCGCTAACACACGACCCCCCAAAAACAGTGCGTCGACATCACCTTCGTCGAGCCGGGCGACAGCCGCCTCGCCCCCGTCAACGAGACAAATTGCTTCAACAGCAACGACATCGGCTTCGCAGACGTCTACACCATCGTCACCCGCGAGTCCGGCGCCGACCCGGTCGACCCGGTCGACCCCCGCGCCGCCGCCTCCACGTCGGACGCCTCCGAGACCCTCTTCTGGTACTTTGGCCGCCACAACTCGCACACCGCGTCCGTGTGGAAGAGCGCCCTCGGGCTGGCGCCCGTCGCGCTGGGGGTGGCTTGGGCTCTGCTCTGAGCGGGCGGCTTGTTGCCGGGGTTCTTCCCTCTTAAATGACTTGTCCTTTTTCTTTTTTTGGTCGTGTGGCTATCTGGTGGCTGGTTTGGAAAGTGGCGTTCTGGGGCGCTGGGACGGGAAGGCTTATGATATCACTGCGGCCACATCATGCCTATGAACATTCGGGAAAAAGACCCTGGATTTATATTTTTAATGCAATAACACAAATACAGTACGTGCTAAGGAGCTGTTGTGCCATTTGGTGACGTTTTACGACAAGCAGACCATGATGTTAAGCCGCATGCGCAGTTCCCTACCAGGACGTCCATGGCCCAGCATGATTAAGCAGCTCATGACACAATACGAAGCGGGGAGACACAGTCAATGAGGCACGGCAGAAATGGTCTAATCATCGGGATCATTATTTTATCTTGAAACCTCATACTAGAGGCTACACCAATCTACACTTCCTTCCACACCCATACCGCAATTCCACATTCACCAGCTAAAGCAACCCAATAACCTCCTTCGCCAGGTTCGTCACGCGCTCCTCACCGCCCGCGCTCAGCACCTTCCGCACAGCCGAGTCCGCGCCGAGTGTCCGCACGACCTCGGCGTAGCCGGCGGCAGCGATGGTGCCGAGGGCCGCCAGCGCGCGGTAGCTGACCTCGGGGTCCGACTGGCCCTGCAGGATCTTGGCGAGAACGTTCGCCAGGAGGCCAAACACCTCGGGCGTGATGGGGCCGCCGGCGCCGACGCTGACCTTCTTCCGCGCGACGAGGGAGGCGAGGACCGCGTAGTTGAGCGCCGCGGTGGTGACCGCGATCAGGACGTTGCGGTTGTTGGGGAAGCCCACGGGGCCCTTGAAGGGGGTGTCTGATATGCCGACGAGCGACTCCATGTGGTCGACCACCTTCTCCGCGTGCGCGTGGGCGACCTGCCGGCCCTGTTCGGTCGTGAACAGGTTCGTTACCGCCCGGAATGCCATCATGGCGCAGTTCTCGTTGATGTTTGAGCCACCGCTGGGCTGGAAGGCGGCGCGTAGGGCGATGTCGATGATGGACTCGCCGCTGGGGCCGGTGAACCCTGCAGCCAGGGGCGATGTGGCCACACATCGTAGGAGATCGAGACCGGGGAGGCGCTCGTTGTCAGGCCACTGGCTGACAAGCTTGAGCACGAGGCCGAGGTCGTGCTCCGAGATGGTGAGGGGTTGAGAGGTCGGCGCGGCAGCAGTGCCAGGAACCGATGCCGGCACGCTTGGGATCGCCTTGCTTAGGTTCTCTGCCAATTTGGCCAGGGTGGCCTCCTCAGCCGGGTTGAGAGCGGTTTCCTTCCTGCCAGAAGATATCATCGTGGCATTGATCGACAGGATCTTCTTGACCGCTGGATCGAACTTGGCAGTGGCTATGGTTAGGTACTTGTCCTGGGGAAGAGACTTCTTTGCAGGAGGGGCTTGTGACGCGGAGTCATCCCCGGGCTGGTATCTGCCGGTGCCGAACTCATCAACGGCCGGACCTGAGCTCTGACCGATCGTCGCACCTTTGGTGTTCTCGACGATGAAATTCGAAACTTGGTCCAAGTAGGTTTGGGGTAGCTCGTTATCGCTCAGGAACTTTGAGGCTGCCTCGTACGGGTTCTGAGACAGATTGTATGGGAGCTTCAACGCTGGGGCGCCATCCTCGATGGCCACGTCGAATACATAATCGTAGGACTTGCCCATGTACTCGACCTTCTTGCCGCTGCTCCCAACAGCATCCACGACCGTGCCAACCTCGATCCATTTCCTTTCACCTGGTGATTTAGTTAGCATAGTGCCAGGAACCCGTGGGAGTGGCATGTGAGCTTACCGGCAGACCACTGGTGCGCAGTAATAGAGCCGTTCGGCTGGTTGATCATCTGGATCTGCCCTTCCTTGGTCCCATCTTTCGATGTTAGAAATTCTGGACCGGGTAGTTTCTCCTTGTTGATACCGCCCATCTGCTGCGCAGGGATGGAGGAAGCCTTGACGGACTCATCGAAGCTTGCGAGGGTCTCGGCGTCTGCAAAGCTGTCGGCATTTCTTGTGAACACACGTACGATGCCGTCACTTGAGCCAGACACGATGTCACCGGTCTGGTGGCTCACAGCAACCGACCAGACCGATATGGCAGGCAGGGTGATTGTTTGCGCACACTCAAGACCCCGCCACACCCGGATGGTCCGGTCCTCGCCCGAGCTCACCAGCTCTCCGCTGGGGAGCGCCGCCAGGCTGTAGACAAAGGACTCGTGACCGTGCAACTCGCCGACAGACTGTCCGTTGAGCTTCCACAGCCGTATCACCCCGTCGTTGTGTGCGCTGGCAATCTCAGCGCCAGTGGGATGACCTTGAGGTACCTTGCACACGGCACGTACAACATCGGAAGTGTATATAGTAGACCGCGGCTTGACCTCGCCACCGGCACCGGAACGCAGGTCATATATATGAATCTTCTCGTCGGCTGATCCCGTCACGACTGTGGTCTCATCCAGTGCCAAGACTCCCCACACACTTGCGTCGTGGCCGGCCAGTCTCAGCTCGGGCTCCCACTTGCCGACCCGCCAGACAATGGCTTGTTTGTCCCAACTCCCTGACACGATATAGGTGCCCTTTGGTGACAAGTCGAGCGCGCAGATGTTGTGGGCATGGCCGATGAGCAGGCGCTCGGCGTTGTCGGAAGGGGTGGAAGTCGGCTTCTTGACCTCGATTATGGTGTCCTTACCGCCGGAGATGACAAGGCCGTCGGCATACTCGGCATTTGGGGGGAGGAATGCAAGACTGGAGAGCCATTCCTGGCCCTGAGTGACGACGGTGGCATCGAAGGATGGTGGCTTCTGGGAGGACTTGCGCCAGAGTCGTAGAGTGTGATCGCGAGAGGCAGAGATGACAACGTCGGGGCTTGGGAAGAGAACATCGCGGACCTGCAGAGAACGGAGTAGATGTCAGTATAGAGCCATGACTTGGGGTTCGAACAGAGGAGCCATGCTAACGTCAGACTCATGGCCCGGTAGCTGGGCAGACAGCTTGAACTCCATCGTCAGAGCTGTGCTTCTCGTCCACCAGTTTCCCCAAGTGTTGCCTGCAACGGATGAGAAACGGCCAAAGTCGACGGCGTCGGGAGGAGCTCAGGTGTCAAACAGACGCAATGCCACCGACCGGGGGCTGGGGACAAGGGTATCAGTGCGGTTGCTGGACCTGAGATGGCGTCGGTGTCTGTCCTTTACCAAGCTAGGGACAGGAGAAACTGGGTTAGAGGTTGGTAAAAGAGACAAGATACTCCTCCACTCGCTGTCGAAACTAGGCAGTCCAGATACGTAACGGTCTTGTTGACAGCAACGGTTGGCAGGAGCTCCAGGAGTGGCGGGCGGTGCTATCGGTACGTACCGACAACCTGCTGAGGTCATCGCGGGGCAGACGGTACGTACTCCGTACATGGGTTACGGCAGGCTCCCCGCACGGTCATGTTCGGAGTACGGAGTACTGTACCTTGCTGCCCGGTTAGCTGCGAGCAAGTTTGGAAGTCAGGATGGAAGCAGAGACGAAAGCCACGAGGACTGCAATTTCAGACGGAAGCAGAGCTTGTCTCTGGGCGGCCAGTAGCAGAGGGTGAGCCCTCAAGGACAAATCCCACGTGCAGATACACATGCTTGTAACAGCTCGAGGTCGTGATCTGCTGTGCATGCTCTGCCGGGCTTCTACGATCTTCCAGACATTGAAAGCCAAACATCCCACCAGAGCCGAGGATAGAATGCATGCAAAGCATACTTTTCCATTCGTTTCTAGCAAGATATGCAGGCCTGTCTTTGTTGCTTGTAGGCCGGTTGAATCCCACTGTTCTCCATGTGAGCTTTGGGCCCAAGCAACCTTGAGGTCTTGTTCATGGGTGCATCTATAGCAGGGTCCAGAACCCCAAGAGCTTCGAAGCCCCTGCCCCACCTCTGCAGCGAGAGCGATTGATGATTGGTCCATTCTGTGCCAAGGCAACAGGGGTCCCTCTTTCTGTTTCCAACCCGCCAAGGCTCCCCCATCTGTCACTTCCACCTCCTGCAGACTTCGCCAATCGATCTACAGGTGCAACCTTTGGAACAATCGACCACTTCCTGCCTCTCAGCTCTCCATCCTCTCCCTTCAAGCTTCTGGGTTGACTCCTCCTGCCCCTTGGGAGAACACCAATCTGTCAACAATCCCTTTTGATGATTGATACGATACGATTCATGACCAAAGAGTGCTGTCCTGCATAATTCAGTCCTCCCTTTCTCTCTCTTTCTTTTTTGTTCTGCTGTCTTGCTATTGGGAACAGCAGCCTTCGTTTTGTTTCTTTGACCACACAATTCGACTTGAAAATAGCAAACCTGAGCTGTCAGCAAGCTTGGCGCTCTTAATACTCGCCTTGCAGTCCATCGCATCGCAGCGAGTTCTGCCGTCGCGTCGCACCGCATCGCATCGCATCGAAATCGAATCGCGCCCGAACCATCGCGCAGTCTTGAACTTCGCACCCACAGTGATACCCATCTGTCCACTCGAATCCTATCTTCACAAGCTTCGCCGCCACAGGCAGCCAATCACCAACACTCTCAAGTCCCTCTCGCAGTCAACATGGCATCCAACGGCGCTGCTCGGCAGTACCTGCCCCTGACCTGCCACGGCCACTCGCGCCCTGTCCCCCACATCAGTTTCTCCAGCCTCGAGAAAGATGGGGAGTACTTTATTATCTCTGCTTGCAAGGGTACGTCTGCCACCACTGCTCGCAAGCTCCCAGTGGCTACTGTTCCGGCTTGACGGCATAAGAGCTGACCAAACTGATAGATGGCCACCCTATCCTCCGACACGGTCGCACCGGCGACTGGATCGGTACCTTCATAGGGCACAAGGGCGCCACCTGGCAGGCCAAGCAAAGTCCCGACAACAAGATCGCTGCCTCTGCCTCCGCCGACTTTTCCACCAAGGTCTGGAACGCTCACACCGGGGAGATGCTCCTCGTCCTCAAGCACGACCACGTTGTCCGTGCCGTCGCTTTCCCGCTCAACATTTCCGACATTCTGGCTACCGGCGGCCACGAGAAGATTCTTCGCATCTGGGATCTCAAGTCGGACGACCACAACGACGCGAGGGTTACCGCTACGACCGACGAGGAGACCAAGCACACCACGTACCACATCCCGCACGAAATGGCCCACCAGATTGGCGAGGTCCACCCTGATACCATCAAGTTCATCGTCTGGCCCCAACAGACCACCATCATCACCGCCGCTGGCAAGACCCTTCGCTGGCACAATGTCTCCTCGCGGAGCCACTACAAGGAGGAAGTCTACGACGGCGAGATCAAGGCATGTGAGCTTGTGTCTCTGGCGCCCCAGTTCACGTCGCCAAACGACATCGGCGGCGGCCTGCCTGTCTTGGCCATCGCCGCGGGCAAGAAGGTCTCCTTCTACGGCGGCGCCGACTGCACCCAGCTGGTCAAGGAATTCACACTTCCGCATGGGGTTGCCAGCGTTGGACTGGACCTCAAGAACCACAAGTTCATCGTGGGCGAGGAGCCCGGCACGTGGGCCCGCGTGTACGATTGGGAAGGCCAGGAGATTGACGTGATGAAGGGCCATCACGGACCCATCTGGTGCATTCAGTTCTCTCCCGATGGGAAGCTGTACGCCACTGGATCCGAGGACGGGACGATCCGCATGTGGAAGAATTGCGAAGAGGACTACGGCCTCTGGCGCGAACGAGGAACGGTTACCGCGGAGAAGGTGGAGTAGGATCACCGACCTCTCCCGTGGAGCCCCCTGGCGGAGAATGAACCTCCACCTGAGGCAGCAGCCGGTGGTCAACAACGCCCCCCGGCGCGATTGGGCAGCACTGGCGGAGGCTCAGCCACGCCCTTGGGTGAAATATCTGTCAATGTCGCCAAAGTCCCGGCGGCAGCCTATCGAGGGCCCCAGCAACCATCCGACTCGCAACAGGACAGCGAACTGTCGACTCACTGGAAAACAATCTTGTCACCGGTGACGGAGGAATCGCCCAGCCCACGAAAGAAGAAGCGCGCTGAGGAGGACCTCCTTGTAAGCTACTCGCCCCGTAAACCTGCAACTCGGCCGGTGAGCCCTGGCAGCCTCAAGATGCAGAATTTCTTGCGGAGACTGGAGCGGCAGGGACTCTCTCATGACTAGCTGGCTGGCGGGACAATTGCATCTCTATGTACCATTGTCGCATTTCTGGCAGCGAGCACCCCGGAGGAAGTTGAACAGCCTCGGTCAATTACCGCAACTTCAGGACACATCTTAGACCTGTAATCATGTCTTGCCTCCCATGACTTCTCATCTTTGCTGGTGAGTGAGGCTACTTTTATGGACCTTATTCAGGTACTCGAAATAGAAAACAAGAAACATTTTCCCTCATCGCTGTCGGGCGTCGCATTGCTGTGCTATATTTGCCTCTCGTGCTCTCCAGACCGGACAGGACCAGGTTTCTTTCTGACAGCTCGTTCATCGTGTTTGCCTTTTTCTGAGGTGACCGTAGTTGGGTTCTGCTGGTGCTAGCCCAGGCACTGATGGTTATTGTTGCCGTTCGACCTGATCCTTCTCTGTTAGGTTAAGTGGAAACCTGGCCACGTTTTTTCTCGCAAGCGAAACCCGTAGATGTTTTCAGTTATCTCTCCTCCCTCAGGTCGCATCGCAGTTCAACGACGTTTCGTGAACTCAAAATCCACCTGCCCCATTCAATCGGATGTGCTTCGTTCAGAGCAACTGCTTCTCCCTCAGACTTGACTCTAACTTGCTCGCCACAATCCTTGACATCTGCACCGTACTCTCGAAGGCTCTTGCCATCAGGTATTCCTTCTGGTAGGAGTGACTCGCTTGGAACAATCCACTTTTTCCCTTCTTCACATCGTCTTCCAGCTTGCTTCTCTCTGATTTGGGTAGGTAAATGTCGGTTTGGTGGTTTCCGTTGACAACTCTCTCTTCCTCACTGCCTCCACCCTCCACCCTCCACCCTCCATCCTCCATCCTCCAACCTCCTCCCTCACTACTTCTCTACTTCCTAGCCTCCCCCTCCTCCCTCCCTACTCCTCCATTTCCAAGCCTCCTTTTCTCCCAGACACCCACTCCGTACTTCTTACCTCATCTTGGGGGCATCCCACCTGACAACTTCCACAATTATCACTCTCCCATCTCTCACGTCCCAGGGAGTTTCACTTGTGAATTGCTTCTCATTCCGACCGTCGGTTCCTTCTTTCACACTTCCGACCTGACCAGCTCCTTCTCCAATTACCACAGGTGAGCCACAACCTCTGGCCTCGCAATTTCCTTCTGCTCTTGGCCTGATACATCATCGCCTCACAACCTCTCATTTACCTCCACTCTCTTTCTTTCTCTCTTACCCCTCCCTCCGACTTGCCATCCTCCCAACCAACATCCCTCCCTCATCCCATACAACCTCTAGCTCAACTCGTTCCGACCACTCACTTACTTGTCCTACACATACTCCTCTCTTGCACATCACCATCCTCCGTCAGCACAATAGCAGCCATAACAATGGCCTCTGGTGGGCACTCCGCTGACTCCAGGACTTCCAAAGGACACCGCCGCAGGATGTCTCAATCCACTGCTGAGTCCGTCGAGACGGCGGCGAAGCAGGCTGACTACAAGGCCATGCTCAACACCCGCAAGAATGTCCAGAAGGACCCCGCCTTTGCCCTTGCCACTGAATCTCAGAAGTCGGCCATGTTTAAAATGGCCATGAGAGAGACCATGGAGAGACGGTAGGTCCCATCATCCACGACACACAGCATCCACTGTTAAATCCGCTGACACGCTGCGCAGACGCTCCCGCGGACAAGACACCGTGTCCAAGATGGCCGCGTTCAGAGCGGGACAGTATCGCGGTTCTGGTTTTCAGACCCTTGTGCCCATCGCCGATTTTCTCAGAAACAAAGGATGGGTGCCTTCTGACCCTACTGGCGCTCAACAACGTGACGCCGCTCTCGGTGGCAGCAGTTCCCTGAGAGGTGCGCCCGTGGCTGGCATGGAGGGAGGGGACAGCCCTCTCGCTGATGCCTATGGCATGCCGAGTGCCCCCGGTAGACACGGCTTCGTTGCGCATGGCTACCCCACCTCGGTTCCTCTCCGTCGTGACCAGCGCGATGTGAATCCCGTCGAGGGCCACCACCTGTCCTCTCCGGCCCGGCCCAGCATCAAGCCGGCCCCTGAGGCGTTCGCCAGCATGAGCCCCGAGCCGATGCTGGCCACGATTGAGGGAGATGTCTCCGCGAATGACATTGGTGACTCGATGACCCGCCTGCAGACCGAGATGGGCTACTTGCGCACCATCTGCGACAATGTCGCTTCGAACAACGCGCACGTCCGCGATGAGTTTGGAAGAATCGAGGCTGAGATGGGCCTTGAGAAGGGCCGGGTGGACAATCAGGAGGCCCGGATGACACGCCTGGAGAATGTGGTCCATGCCCTGCAGAACACGTCTCTGAGCGCCATCGTGGACAAGATGAACGAGCTGGAGAATGCTGTGGAGGAGCTCAAGGCCAAGGTCGGAGGAGGCTGTGACGCCGAGATCGCGAACATGCGGGAGGTCATGGGAGGGCTGAAGAACCTCCTGGACCGGGTGGGCGGTTTTGCCTAGTCCCACTGACCCTCATTCGGCACTTGCATCTGAAGGTATGCATGAGCCGACACGCGGCACGCGAGTTATGGGCCTGTTGCGTTGATTTTCATTCTTCGTTGTTATTGTGGGGGTGCCTTTCTATCATGCGATGTGTTATTCATTTTCATGGGGATGGTCGCAACTTTACTCCGCGTTGGAGGCGGAGACAGTCACTCTAGGTTCCGGAGACTACACTTGTTTGCATTCCAAGCCGCCAAAAGTATGCTAGTGGCGCATAAATGTTGCGCACCACTAAACTTTCCGCGCAACCATTATTAGAATAATATATTACGTTTACTCTATGAATATAAGTCTAATATAGTTAGGAGAAATATTAAATGAAAGAGGGTATTTCTAGCACTCTAAAACTTTTTTCCGTATTAGATTTAGAGTTCTAGTTGTAGAGTAATTAGCGCTTAAAGTATATAATTTAAATATTTTCTTCTATTTTATATTAAATATATAATATTTATAAACTTTTTATATATTAAAATACTTCTTTTAATTAGGGCTATTAAATAGTACTATTTCTATTAGGTTATAACTACTAGTTGTTAAGTAATTTATATTAAAGTTATATTTCTAATAATATTTTAAATTTATAATAAGTGTATTTAGTACTTTAATTAAAAGTACTCTACTTATATATAGGTCTTATATTATTTATATTACCCTTTTAAAATACCTAGATAATAATAGATATTCTAAGTAGAACTTTTAACTTAAGTTTTTCTATAACTAAATCTTTTAGAATAATATAAAAAAAAGTTTTAGAGTATTAGGAATACCCTTTTCCTTTTAGTACTATTTATTAATTTATAAGACTTAAATTTATTAAGTTAACTGTTTATATACACAACTTTAAGTGTACGTGACATTTATGCGCTATTAGCGTACTTTTGGCGGCTTGGAATGTAAACGAGTGTATAAATCGTTGCTTTTTGGCTTATCAATTCAATTTTTTGCCCAGTCTGTGACGACTTTCTATTGAGTGACATCCGCAAGGTACTACCCCGCTGTGCTCAACTTCCTACCCTAGGGTTTACTTGGGTGACGACGAGTAGATGTTCTATTTCGTACACTTTGATGAAGTTTCCCAGGTGTTTAGGCAAATAACGCCTGGGTCGAACGACGTCAAGTCTCCTTGGTGTACCCTAGGGTACTCATAGGTTCAGCCGGTGCCAAGACCTGTCGAAATCTGGAGCGTAAATGGGAATTCCTATTTCTTGCAAGCTAAATGAAGTGGCGAAAGTTCGCCATAGATTCGCCTATAGAGTTGGGCGTCCTCAGGCAGAGGAAAAAGAATCGGCAAGAGTACCTAGGTAGGTAGTACAGTCTAGTTGCATAAAATGGGATAGCCCCGTTACAAGAATATAATCGGCAAAACCCGGCTCCACTAGCATGAATTAGGACATTCATTATTCGATAGTCGGTGTGATCATTGACGCCAGCCTCGATCCCACCTGGACAACATAGCTTTGAGGGGTCGTGAGTTGAGATGATGAGCGCATCTATCCAGACCATTTTCGCGTATTCTCTTTCAATTTATCGCCAGAAACAGTACGATGTCTTCAATAATAACCCAGCCGATCACGTTTCCAACAAAAACCCGGGCCCAGCCTCTGCCGCGAATGCTAGCAGCGGATGAAGTGATCCCTACGATACAGCGCATCATCGCTATCCGGACAGCAGCCTACAATTCGGTGTCCCTGAACGTCACGACCGAGACAGCCACGTTTGAAAATGTCATCCAACCTTTGCTTGAGGATGAGGACATCAATCAAGGAACCGAAGCTGTGATAGACATGTATCGTTACGCAGGTCCGGATCAAGAGAGCCGTGACGCAGCAGAGGAGGCGACTAGATTAATGTCCGAATGTAACGCTCAGTTGAAGTTGAGAAGTGACCTGTTTCTGCTTGTCAAAGCTGTTGCTGATAGAGACGATTACCCCAACGAAGAGTGTGCAAAAGCAGTGCGGGATATGTTGCGCGGGTTTACCAATGTTGGCCACGGAAAGTTGACTCCAGACAAGATTCAGAAGTTGCTTGATGTTCGGAAAGAAATCGACCGTCTTTGCCAGGACTTCAATCGGAACCTCAGAGAGCACACAGAGGGAGCTTGGTTTACGCTCACGGAGCTTGAAGGCCTGCCCGCGCAAGAGATCCAACATCTTACCGCAAAGAGCAAGCGCCAGGATCAGGTATACATCGACTACGGCAAGCGTGCAGACAGACTTCTGGTTCTGAGACACGCCCGAAACCCCGCCACTAGGAAGAAGTTGTATCTCGGCAACGAAAAGAAGCTTCCAGAAAATATCTCAATATTCAAGAGGGTTGTACTTTTACGTCACGAGACCGCACATCTCCTCGGTTTCAAGAGCCATGCCGAATTCAAGCTGCAAGAAAGAATTGCCACTTCGACTGAATGGGTATACGATATGCTACAGCGCATGCGCGACCAACTTCTTCCGGTAGGACAGAGAGCATTGGAGCAGCTGAAGGCTCTGAAGAGGGAGTTGGTAACAAGCACTCAAGCAGGAGACGACGAAATATTCCCTTGGGACTTCCACTACTACATGAGATTGCTCGAGGACGAGAAGCGGGTAGACCAAGAGCTCATTTCACAGTACTTCCCACTTAGAAATACCGTATTAAGAATGCTGGGGCTGTTCGGGTCTTTCCTTCAACTACGTTTTGTGCCCATTGTGCCCGAAGAGCTGACTGGCAGAGTCTGGCATGAGGATGTGGAAGCTTGGTCGGTCTGGGATGATAGAACAGAGCACACAAGTGAATTCGTTGGATACCTGTTTTCAGATATCCTATATAGGGATGGGAAGTACAAAGGAAACCAGAATGTCAACCTACAGGCAGTAAGTATTTACAATCCTTTCCTCTTCATAGCTGACTAACTCTTGAGAACAGTCATATCTGAAACCCAATGGTGGTCGAGTATTTCCAGCAACTATCTTGATGTGCAACTTCTCCCCTTCACCAATCACCGGATGCGCCTTACTCAGGCACTCCGAAGTAGTAACTCTGTTCCATGGTAGTGTTTCAGCCCATTGTCTTTCCTTACCACGGAATCACACACTGAGAATGTCCTTATACTAGAGCTTGGCCATGGTATCCACGACCTACTGTCTCGAACATTTCACACTAGATATCACGCATGGAGAGCACCGGCAGAATTTGCCGAAGCTCTGAGCATGATGCTTGAGAATTGGTGTTGGAATATGAGCGATCTGAAGGAGCTGAGCTGCCACTATTCGAGGGTGGATCCCCATTGCTTACAGGCATGGAGGGCTCAACATCCCGGGGCAACCCTGCCAGCGGAACGAATTCAGGACGAGGTGCTGGAGCAGCTTATTGCGAGCCGCAATCTGAACAAAGCCTTTGGACTTCTCCAGCAGACGTAAGTCTTCATAGACTGTTCCAGTGTGAGAGAAACCGTTCTAAATGACACAAAGCGCAGATTCGGTATTCGACATGGCAGTACATAACCCTGCAAGCTTAGACTATCTATTAGAGCTGGATGAAACACAGCTCTACAACAGTATAAAAGAGGAATTTTCTCTTCGGAGAAACCCAGAGCCGAGCGCATGGGGACCCGCTCATTGTCATTTTGGACACTTGATGTCCGGCTATGATGCTGGCTACTTCTCGTATCTCAGGTAAATATCACCCCACTATAAAATCAGTCAACCGATGAAGGTTTCTGAATGAGAATAGTGCACAAATATTTGCCGCGGACTTCTATGAAACAGTATTGGCTCTCAATCCTCAGAGTCGGGCGTCTTGGAGCCGATATAGACAAGTGATTCTCGAGGCTGGCGGGAGCCGCGATGAGCTGAAGATGATGGAAGAGTTTCTCGGCCGTCACCCAAAAGTGGATGCTCTTGTGCGGAGCCTAGCACTTAGCTGAGGCATACCTTCCCTGAGGTTTTGAGGATTGGGTTATATTGCAATTCTTATAACACGCAAGAAGCTCTAAAGAGGATTAAGCAAGAATCAGCTATGGGTTTATTTGGGAAGGGACATGAGAAACATATAAGAGCAGGAACTCTGGCCCAAATGAGTCACTACATATATTCCGAGGCCGGTGTCTCAGCTGCGAGATATTCCCCTCATACATCATAATTCGTGCTGCCTTTGTTACGTAAATACAGAGTAATGATATGGATAACCGCGTATCCAAACTAGACTGATATTCATCTATTGAAGCGCACCAATAATATATTCCGTACCTTTTCCTCCATGGCGGTGACTACTTCGTTGGCGCCGTCACATGGCCTCAGTGTCACATGCAGTGAATCGTCGGCTCATCCATACTACGTCACGGATACCCTTAATTCGCGTCATTATTAATTGAGTCAGTATAGATTTAAGTACTATTGTATTCTAGACGATTGTTTACATGGCTCCATTTGGACTGTTGTTGGTGACTCTTTCGCCGCTCCTTAGCCCCGAGGCTATTTATGTCGATAATTCTAGTCAGCAGTGCCGTCGGGAGCGATGCCTGCTAAACTTGTCTGTGCGGCACGCTCCCAAGTATTGTATTCACTGTGCACTTTTATTATTGTTCTTGTGATTGTGTTTTTTTATTAAAAAAAACGCTGGGTCTTGAGCCTTGATCCCTATGTGAAGGTGCCATGTCTGTCTTGGAACGTGCGGAATAGAAGCGAAATTAACAAGTAAAGACTTTGGACTTGCTAGGCTGACCGCGTTTGTGCCCAAAAAAATAAGTTCCTAGAGTTTCTTTCTCTCGGACAATGTTGTGATTCAACAACGCAAGGTCTACTAATTGGCGATACATACACATTATCCAAGGCCGTGGCTTGAATTGACGGCTAATATTTACAAGTAAATTCGACAACGCTGGGCCTTTCCGTGTTAATCTTGTTTGCAGGGTTCAAGAATTGAGAACGTAATCATCAAATTCCACGTGACCTCATCTTTCTATCTTTGGCTTAACAAGCGGAATCTTTCTTAGAAACCCCGGGAAATGCTCTCCAATGCCTTTGTCAAGGGCCTTTATACCCGTTGGCTTAACATAAAAGGCATCTGCGCCGGCTGAGAAGGATAAACCCTTGTCTTCGGGGGAGTCTTGACCTGTAATCATAAAAATGCGACTGTGGAAACTCGCATGCTGGTTCTTCTTTTCAATGTCGCGAATCCGCCGAGTTGCTTCAACGCCGTCGCAAAGAGGCATTTGTAAGTCCATGAGGATGAGATTGATCGGCCGGTAATCTGATAAAGACTTCTCGAATCGGTCCACAGCCTCTATGCCATTGATTGCCGTGCTGTAAGTTATCTTCCGCTTCTCACAGTACATTTGCAGAATACGTAGATTCACAATATTGTCGTCCACTAGCAGTGCAACAGGATCAATCTCTGGTGGTTGGGTTGGCGGTGATGCAATCTGAAGCGCTGACAGTCGGTGTAGTCCATCGTTCTCGTGGACTTGAGGACCGTCTGACAGATTGTTTTCGCTTTTGAGATTTTGGATTTTGTATGCCTTGTCGAGTTCTTGGAGGACTTCGTGCAGACGCGCTGAAAAGAAAGGGCCGGAGAGAAAGTGAACCCTGTCGTCCCGCACATCTTCCAAGCCTGTGGGAGTCAAGCAGATTAAGCGTTGCCCATGCTCCAAGGAGTCGAGTATTCTCTGGAATTTGACGGTATCTGGTGTGTAAGTGACGATTGTGAAGGCTTCCATGCAGGCGTCCACTCGTTCGAACCCCCGATGCTCGAGGAAGCTCGCGAAATGCAAAATCAATTGAGAGCGTTGATCGGGAGTATCAGCAATCCGGAACCGACGAGGTATGTGTTGAAGGGATTCCAATGTCCGCGACTGACGGGCGGTGTCTCGTGTGAGTTCGGGTCCGCAAAGTTCGGCGCGAAAGTGAGAGCCATGGTTGTCTGGGTCTTGCGATGACGAGACTAAAGACACATTGCCGTTCATCGAGGCGGCTATTTTCGTCGCTATGGTCAGACCGAGCCCTGCTCCACGACTGTGTGGATCAATCTTTTCGAATGCCTCAAAAATTCGGGCCTGATCAGCTGGCGGAATACCACAGCCGGCATCCAGGACGTCAAAAATCAAGCGAGATTTGTCAGGTGGTGACGAAATGACAACAGCCACGGCGCCATCGTTGTCATTAGACAATGCGTTAAGGAGTAAGGGTTGTAAACATTCTTTCAGTAGCGACGGATCCATGATGGTAAGATATTCATCACTGCCCAGTCGGTTATCAAAGAAGATGGGAGTCGACGGAAAGTCGTGTTCTGAAACCAACTGTTTCACCTGGTGCACGATGTCCTCTTCCAGGTGGGCAAGAGATTGTAGGCCGAAGTGGTGCCTAGTTGCGATGGTCTCTGACCAATAGTTGAGTTTGAGGATATTGTTTACCGTCATCATCAGTTGTCTTCCCGAGTCTCTGATGGTTTTGATGAAGGACGACGGGTTTGTTTCATTCCCAACCGTACCTTCTCTGAGTTCGTTGCGGGCAGCCAGTTCTTCACTAAGAAGCTCGCAAGACGCCAGGACCCCATGAATGGGGGTCCGTAGTTGGTGGGTGATCCCTCTGATGAACTGGTCCTTTGCCTTCATGGCCTCTCTCAAGCTTCTTTCCTGAAATGCTGTGGCAAGAGATGTGGCGCACCTTTCGACGAACCATGAATCCACATCATCAAACACGACCTGGACGTGACTCGAAGCCACAACGAGGAACCTTTGATAAGGGAAGTTCTGGCAATGGTGGGCAATAGCTCGTACAGTCTTTGATGTGTTGATCCTCGTAAAGTTCGCCGTCCTGATGAGCTCGTCGATGAACTCTGTATCTTCCCACAGGCCTTCGTGAATACTACTCACATCCACAGGATGATGCCTGGGTAGCGGGATTGTGTTGTCGGGAGCCTCAAGTATATCAACAGAAGCGTCGGGATAAAATTCACGCACAAGATCTAAGATGCGTGTCTCGGCATTGTCCGGATCGCCAAGAAGGGACTCTGCAAGGCGCTGTGCCATGTTGGTGCGCTGCTGTCGTCGTTCATAACGCGAACGATTAACGATATCTGTGACGAGCATGTCTCCGAAAGCGATGAGGGCAGCTTCTTGACTCGGAGTGAGATGTGCATGTGCCGAGTTGGAGGCCACGCAAAGGCTTCCGAGGGCAACCTGTTCGCCCGTTGGGGTCATACACCGGAGTGGCACCCCGGCGTAACTACCAAGGCCGCCTTGCGCGACGGGAGGAGATGCCTGGAATCGCCAGTCGCCCGCCATGTTGGGTAATTTGAAGACAGCCTGGCAGGATATTTAGTACGTATGTAGGTCAGTATTTCGAAGCGAGATACTGACTCCTGGCTCTTGGTTGATTGTGTGGGAGCAGGTGCTCTCCCGACGAGGAACGATAGCCGTAGGCATGCCAGATGCAGCCACCCGAGTGAACATATCTTCGCTAAGCAGCCCTAATATCGCGAAGTCCCACTGCACGAAAGTCTGAACCAGATCCAGCTTCTCTTGTAGCAGCTGCACGAATTCACGGTCTCCATCGAGACCGCGAGTATAGTACCACAGCATGGTCAGTCGAAGTCGTTCATTCCTCGCCAGGGACGGCATAAGATATGGGTCGGTGAACCCATTGGGTCGTTGCGGCAGATCGTTTCCCGGAAGCGGATTGTAACTTGCGTTGTGCAGCTCCTCGTCAAATGCCAAAATTGGTTCGCTACACAGCCGGTCATCCGAAATAAGCAACTGACGGGTAGGAAGTGGCCGGGACGCTGACTTGTCAGCCTCCGACTTGGGATAACAAGGAGTGAAGACTGTGGCAGAGGAGGTTGAGGCTGGAGAAGTCGGTGGTTTGGGAGGGGTCACGGCTCTGCCACGAGCCCCAAGTCGCATCATAGTCACCTAGGAGGGTGCAAGGGCGAGAATAACGGATTGCACAGGCAGGTAGGAAAGATGGTTAGGGAGTGACGAGAAAGGCAACGGCAAGTGAGCGCGATGTGGCACAGGTCAACATAGCACAGCATGCCCCCATGTTGATTCGGGAGGCAAATTGCCAGTATGAGCCGAGGGGCTATCCGAGTTTTGCGGAACGGGAAAGCCAGATGATAGTAGGTAGTAGCCCTGCTATCGCCGTTGACTTACCAGCACCAGGGTTGCGGGTAGATGCGCAATGGTGGACACCGGCCAGTCCAGGCCGTTCTAGGCCTCACAACACACAACTTCGTAATCCTTGATAACCCCGGACCCACAGTGGCAAAGAGGCCTCAAAGCGCGCTTCTACATAGGGAACCGGCCCTGCGGTTCTCTCTTAACAACAGCCCTTGTGTATCCCGAATATAGCTTAGCTTCGTACTAGAGGTTCATGCACACACCGATTCATTACCTAGGTATGCTGCAAACTGCTTAGCAGACTAACACTAGACGTTTAAAATCCACGTAATATCGATAAGGTTCTTATGCGATGACCCCAGCCTACTACTGTCTGTGACAAGCGAAGTGATGCCCCCCCCCCCTGGCTAAATTCGTATTTACGCACGTGCCACACAATTTTTTCATACCCTCTTAAACTAGTCTTTTCTTAATAACTCTCTTATTTCTTAACTAAAAATTATATAAAAAATATATCTATAATCCTTATTTTAAATTCTATAAGGTTGTATTTTTAAAATATTTATTAAAATAAGTCTTTATATATTTTAATAAAATCTGAAAGTTAATTAATTAAAAATTTTAAAAAGACTCTTTTATAAAGTTTAAAATAAGGATTTTAAAAATACTTTTTTTATAATTTTAAATAAAAATTTAAAAGAGTTTTATAAAGATTTATATATATATATTAATAAAATTTAAACCTTAATTAAATAAATATTTAAAAATTATATTCTTATATAGCTTTTAATAAGAATTATAAATATACTTTTTATATAATTTTAAGGTATATAATAAAAGAGTTTTTTAAAGAAAACTACTTTAGAAAGGGAGTAAAGAAATTTATGTGGCACGTGCGTACATACGAATTTAGCCAGGGGGGGCATCACTTCACTTATCACAGACAGTAAGTAGTATTACTGGCACTGGCAGGGACACTCAATCTTTCAGTGCTTAAGTGTGGGTTGATGTAAACAACTTTTCAGGCACACACTACCCTAGCGTACCGACTTGGACACCAGTCTCCTAATATATAGTTACCCCTCTCAAGCCAATTCAATTCAAAGCCCCCGCAGCGGGAGTAATTTGTGAGTAGGCGCGGAGGTGGAGACTCGTTGCGGATCGTCGAGCTAAACCAACTTTAGAAACATTTGAACATTGAACCATCTGATAATTTTTTCGCTGGGGATATTGTGCATCAGAATCAGTCCCGAGAGCACCCGAGAGTGCTAGATTTATTAGTGTGATTGAAAATGTTGCAGTTCCCTGCAGGGTCGAGTCTCAGGAGATGAACCGCCCTAGGTCTTTGCTATGCAGCTAGCTATACTAGAGACGTGTTGATCAGCCGTAACTTTCATGAAGCCAGTCTTCGAATCATTTGAGCTGCTGCAAAAATATTGGCGACGCTATGTCTTCTCCCATGGATTGCTTCTACCGGTCAAAGGTGGCGGCTGATTCTCCCCATGCACAGGTCCTTGTCTCATGGATCGTGTTCGAGATCTGGGAGATGTTGCCCTTCTTCAAGAGCCTTTTATGGACCATCAAGTCATCCCTTTGTGGTTCCCGGGCTGCTCTCACAATTGCGCATGGTCTTTGATAATACCCTCAAAAGCGCATGGCAGGACGTACCTACCTATCTGTGCCAGGTCAATCAAATTATCTACGCTATCATGTCCACTGGACAACGGTGCCCAGGTGCATAAAGGCCGTTTTGACAGCACCGTCTTGTGCTGAAAAGATTAATATAACAGCTCAGCGAAGAGGTTGTTGAACTGCATGGTGCTACAAAGGTGAATCCAAGCCGTCTCCGGCCCATATTCTCGATGCCGACGCCAAAATGGTGGTGGCTGTGCTCAGATATCTTCTAGGGAAAAACATAGGCTTTGCTTCATTCGCACTTTCCAATATGATTTATCATATAAGTCGCGACCACCTCATGGAAATGGAATAACTCGGTGACGAGCAGTTGGGGTACCCCGGGCCAGTAGAGGTAGGAGTGAAGAGTTGTGAACACCACATGCATTTAGTACAGCTCCCTGGCCACGACTACTGCGAGGATTCGATAAGAGTTCATAGGGTCCCACAATCCCTCCGCAACAACCTTGATTATTAGATGCCGAGCCCATCCCCAAACACCGCCGTCTATAACGTCAATCAGATCGCTTCGTGTATCCCAGGTCCTTCACGCCATAAACGAGGGTATGAATGAGGACAGAGGTGATACTACCCAGTTCGTTACCAAATAAAATCATCATGATCGGCGTATTTACGTGGTTCCGCTTCTATTAAGCATACGTCCGAAGAAATACATGTCGTCTTCATACAATGTCGTCGGCGTATTAAGCTTTCGCCAGCTCACTCAGGAACATGGCGCACTTGTGAAGTCCTTGTTGACTTGTGTTGACGCCGGCTTTGCCCATTCCCGTCAGGCTGCCAACCTGGAACACGGAATCCTTAAGCACCCTGAGCATCGAAGCTGACCATACTCTGCTTGGCTTCCCACTCCTGACGTTAAAAGACAAAAGGTCTTAAAAATGGCATGTGGATGGCTTATATTTGTCAGTTATATTTGTCACTACTCATGGCAGGACCTCGTCAGTGGGCTCAGGGGGTATGCACCGGATTGAATGTTTTATGCACTGCAGCTTGACACACAGATCCACCTTTTACCCGGTCAATGTTTAACGCACCTCGACAAATGAGAACTCGTTTAGGATTGCAGGAGGCTTCCTGTCTTGGGTCCAAGCTAGGACAAGTTTTAGAGACAAGTAAGCTGCAACCAAACCGGCAAGGAAAGTCGTAAATGCAAGCTATAGGAAATTTTGAGTTGAATGATGAATTACGAACAGAATTTAGGGGTCTGGAACTCGAAGCTGCACGTTATGCACATTTCTTGGGAGGCACCGTTCAAGACCAAGTCAACTAAACTAGAAATACGACTTTAAATCGCCTCCATTTGTAAGCTCTTTTGTTAAGAATGATCATTGCAACAACTGGTTCTTGGACTATTGGCTATAGTTTATTACATTCCTTGTTTCATTGACTCCGATAGTAATAAAGTCGACGAAGAGAGCACATACGCTTAAATGACTGTTCTCCCATTTGCTCAAATGTAAAGCTAGCCCTTAAAAAACGAGACACTATTGGTCACAAGGTAACCTTCTCAGTGGAAGCTCTACCTGCCTGCTTGTTTGTGACTGTTGGCGCTGATGAAACCCATCTGTCATGTCATGAAATCCTGAAGTGCTCCTTCTCAGAAGAACCTGGCTGCAATCCCGCAGCAACTCCCAACACTTCGTGGACCGCACATAATGCCTTGGCCCTAAGTCTGTGCAACAGTTCTTCTCTGCGTAGAGGAAAACGATAAATTTAGCACAAAACACGTCAGTGATTTATTGTACCCAATGCGTGGACATTGTGCTTCAAACAATTGAACCAACAACAGCATCAGTTCGTTGAAGTTAGACATATACTCTGTTAGTGGCGCGCTTGAATGCTTGGTCGGCCGTGATATTTCCGAGATCCAACATGCGTACTTCTAATCAAAATTGGATCTTCTCTTTGAGTAGGTCGATGTGCGCGTAACAGTGGCGGAGATCATGCTCCAACTGAGTCTTGTTGTAAAGCCGGGTCTACAGGTAACCATGCACTTGCGGCAACAAGTGGACGAGGGTAGGGCACAGGCAATGTGGAGCCCGCAAAAGGCCTTGGGCAGACCCATACATGCTATAGCGCCCGGAACAGGATGTAGCCCCGAGGTCTCTGCATCGCGGAGTAGGATTAGGCTCATGGAGTGGGTTTTGGACTGAGCCTAGAGGATATGGAAATGCCACATGACTATCGCCTCGTACTGTGACCAATGATGGAAACCGCGGCCAAACAGGCGAGCCGCGAATTGTGTAAAAATCGGCAACTTCAAGAAACACCCCGCCAAGTACTCAAGGGCTTCTTATGCTCGGAATGGGTCAAGATTGTTGGTATTCAGCTGGCTGTGCATAAATCTGACGGATCAATTGGCAGATTAGATTAGATCAGATTAGATTGATCGTTCAGCTTGAGCACAGACCAGTCGCGGAGGACCTCGCTAGCTCTGACGACATGCGGCCGATCTGCAGAAGCTTCGCGGTTCTCCGGCGCGTCAGAACCGACATACCCGCTCTTCACAGGCTTCAAAGCCCTGCCAAATATCGTAACCACATTCAATTATCTCTTCTTGGATTACTATATTCTACCAGCCACCCAGGTCGACCACTTTACCGCTTCAACCGCCCGGCGCAAGCCCGCCATGGACGACTACGATAATGAGCATGACCACGATTCCAATGCGAGCTCCGACGAACAGGAGCACGACCAAGATCAGCAAGATGACAACATGACAATGGAAGACGGGGACGAGATGGAGGTAGACGAGGACGACGCATTCAACGAGGAAGATGAAGACCAAGATGATGGCGACAATGACGGAGATGGGGACGGAGATGGGGATCAAGATCAGGAGCAGGACCAAGACGGCGAACAGGACGCAGACCAGGATCAAGATCAAGAGCAAGATCAGGAACAGGAAGGCGATCAAGAGGAAGACAACACCACAAAGGTCGACAGGCCATCACATTCGAAGTCCAACTCGATAGACTCGCCTATGACGCCGAAATTCCGTCCAAAGGTCCGACCAGAAGCCATCACCGCGAAGCTGTACGATATCGTGCCGACCATGGCAGCCCCACAGGCGACATCTATCAATGCCATCGCCATCACGCCCGACCTGCGGTATTGGATGACGGGCGGGTCAGACGGGTACATCCGGAAATACGACGGCCCAGGCACCATCAACGGCAAGCAACTGTTGACTGTTGCCCAGAGGCACCCCTTTGTCGACAGCGTGACGAAGGCTGGAATACTCATGTCGTATTGGGAGAATCTGGAACCTGCGCCACCTAACCCAAGGGGCGGTGCAAGTGATGCTGACCGCGTCCTGTCTCCGGTCTACAGTCTAGCAGTCCATCGCGACGCCCTGTGGCTTCTGGCTGGTCTGGAGAGCGGTGGAATCAACCTACACAGTGTGAGACATGACGAGGGTAAAACCATACACGTGCTGCAAGAACACAAGAACGCTGTGTCGGTGTTGCAACTGGCACCAGACGAGAAGAGCGTGCTGAGCGGGAGCTGGGACAAAAACATCCTCGACTGGGATCTGAATACCGGCAAGACAATTCGAGATTTCAGAGGAAGCGGTGGTCAGATCTCAGCTCTTGAACCTCGGCCCTTGAGTGGCGCACCGATCCCTGCAGAAGCAGCACAAGAGAATGTCCAGAGCGACACGTTCCGCCCCAGCACGCGGACCAATGGCTTCTTCAGCAACGGGCCCGACTCGGGAGTTCCCAACGGTGGCGCGATGGCCAACGGCGATAGCATGGGAGATGGCGAGGGGTCTGATCACGAGTCGCTCTTTGGAAGTCCGGCAGGGTCACTCTTTGGAGACGGTAACAACAACATGGGCGCAGACAACCCATTCGGTGGAGACAACGACAACGACGGGTACTCGCATGCAATGCTAGAGCCCCTTGATGATGCTCCTCACGGAGATGGCGATGTGACCATGGGTGGCGACGTGACAACGGGTGATGCCTCTCACGACACGACAGACCACCCACCAGCTGAAGCTGCGCCGAGTTCGACCCAAGACACCGCGCAAAAGCAGGCGGAACAACCATCCGCCTCCGACGCCGCAAGCAATCAGCTCAAGCCCCAGGACGCATCGCAAGCCGACCAACAACGACCGTCAACCGCTCAGACCGACGGCGACTCAAAGCAGCCCTCGATACACTCCCCAACTCTCGTCTTCAACAACCCCGCCCCGGCCCAGTTCGACCCCACACAGACCTCCGAGTCGACTTTCCTCTCCGCCTCAATGGACGGTGTCCTCCGGATCTGGGACCGCCGGGTCCCCGCGCCCCTCGCCAGGATCGGCACGCGGCCCGGCGTCCCGCCCTGGTGCATGGGCGCCTGCTGGTCGCCCGACGGTAACACCATCTACGCGGGGCGGCGCAACGGCACGGTGGAGGAGTACAACATCCACAAGGCCACGTCTAACTGGCAGCCGGAGCGTACCCTCAAGTTCCCCGCCGGCAGCGGTGCCGTCTCGGCCGTGCGGACTATGGTCAACGGGAGGCACCTGGTGTGTGCCAGCCACGACATCCTCCGGCTGTATGACCTGCGGGACCCGCGCGCCTTTAAGCATGGCGCCGTGCCCTTCTTGATTATCCCGGGACCCCCTAGGGCGGGCGTCATCTCGCAGTTGTATATTGATCCTACGTCCAAGTTCATGCTTACGGCCGCCGGCACGAGGGGCTGGGAGGGGAGCAGCACGGAGGTACTTATCGGGTATGAGATTGGCTGTGTCAATAATTGATCTTGTCGTAGTGTTTCTTGACAGCGGTGTAGGTTATGTGTTTTTCTTGGCGTGGGGCTTGGACTTCGGCTTTGGCAAGGTTACTCGCCCAGCCGGTTAGGTCCCAGGTGTTCAGCGGTTTTTGGTGGGTTTGTTTGAAGAGGCGTTTCAGGGGAAAGGAAGCAAATTACCGTGGTGGTATTAACGAAAAGTGTTTAAGCGGCGGCACTGGGAGGCTTAGAGTGTGGAGCCAGGCGATCTGCTTCATGCTCAAAATTCTGGTATCAATACCCCATGGCTATAATTATACTTCAATAATGTCTCTTCCAATACGATGTCTTCACTAGAGCCTCATCGCGAAGCCTGGCTGCGTTGTCGTGAATGGTGTGTCTCCTACACTGGGACGAACTCATGCGTTTAATTCACCGATGGCCAAATAACTACGACTTGGTTGATCGACAGCTGCTTCGAACATCGTCGGGCCCGAAAGATAGGCCCTCGAGTGAACGACCCGCTGGACCATCATGTAGAGACACAAATTTACAAGCTACCTGTGACTTGCGCCTTGTCGTGAATGACATGAGCGCCGTACGTTGACCGATAATCACGGCATGAGTTGTTTGAAAACCCCGAGTCGTGGGTCCAAGTGGTTTTCGAACCGTATCTGCAGGCGCATCAGAGACAGTGACTGGCGACTGGATGGGTGATCTATAAATCTAACAGCAATTATGTGGCAGATTAGCCCTTCGGCTACTTGTGTCGACGATAAGCGGCGCCGTCGGGAGCGATGCCTTCCAGCCTTGTCTGTGCGGTACGAGGCTCAGCCACGTGCCCGCAGACGTACTGTATCCTCTTTCCACTATTATTGGTACTGTATTTCTTCAAACGCTGGGTCTTGAGCGTTTACCACTGTATGAAGGCGCCACGTACATTTTACATATATGGGAATTAAAAACGAAACCGCAACAGCAATCATACAGTCCTGAACGATCCCTACCAACATAATGAAACGCAGTAGAGCGCTAATATTTTCCACTTTTGCGCATACTGAGAACCGCCGACTGAGAATTCCCCAGTTCACCAGACGAAATTCAAAAGCTGAAGCTGTCATGGATGCTGAGTCTGATGAGGCAAAATGTACTGATGAGCAATATGTGGCCCTGAACGCGTCTGATCTGGAGGTTTACAAACGACTATACACCTACATTCAATCCCGGCACCACAGCGATAGTCTTCAAACAAGCATTTAGTATGATGTTTACGTTCAAAGTTCATATAGCGACCATGTTGAGAGACCCAGTCTCGCCGTATGACTCCTTTCGCGGCGACTAGCCCGTGGGCTACTTGTGTCTATGATTCTAGTCAATATCGCCATCAAGATAGTACCTTTTAGCCTTGTCTATGCTTCATAAGGCTGAGGCTATAAGTAATATTCGTATTTTAATAATAGTTATTAACACCATGTCTTTTTAAAGTACTAGGTCTTGACTATTTACCACTGTGTCAAGGCGCCAGGTATATACTTAGAAGAATACGAAATTGAAGTGAAACTAGTTACATTTCAAGCTATGGCCCTGTGAGGGCTATGCATGAGCGACACCACAGCCTCACCGTCGATATGTGCCGGATCTTCACTACGAGTTAGGCACTATAGCTCTGAAAGAAGCCTGGTAGATAGACTGGGCCACGTCAAGATGGAATGAACTGAAGAGACCCTATTGGGATGACTTCCGCGCCGTTATCTCGTTTAAGACGATCGAATTCGTGATACGATCACCGACTCAACCACAGCGCTACGGCACTGAACGCAGAACTATCAGGTAAACTGACCAAAGAAATAGCTTTCTGCATCAGCCCCTTAAGTTGAACATCGTCCGGGGGTTGATTTCTCCAACATTGCCATCAGTGCTTCAGTATCGACTGCCTGGACGTGCGTCAGTGTCTGAGGGTCGCACTGGATGCCAGCCCAGGTTCTCAGATGGCAGCAATAATAGGTCGTGGACAGTTGACGCTTAAAAGACCCAAGGGCAACCTATGCCTTGGCGAAGAATCGACATCAACTTTGATTGGAGGGTTAACCGTGCTTTGCAATCAAAATCTGCCCAACAGGTAACAGGTTGGAGACGCCATGCGATCCAAGAGGCTCAAACATATGGCGTTATCAAGAGCGGTGGTAGCGTGGATAATTCCTCCAGACCTGGCTCGATATGGGGTTCTCCGCAAGACTCAGTGTCCATATCGCCGGAATCTCTAGAGCAGCTAAATCCCCTTCCATTGCAACCACAGCAGCATCCAAATTACCCTTAAACGCACGAATCAGGGTCCCGAAAGAGAAACTTGACATTGACTGAAGATTCGGAGTTAGGACGGAGTTCTAAGCGACATAGTTCTGTTGCCCAATCACAGATCTCACCTAGACCTCAAGCCCCCCTGTGGAGGCAGATGGGTCCGTATATGGAGTCACCCAAGAGCTCACTTGCACCTTCGACCGCCGGGTCTTCACGAGATTCACAGCTTGCGAGTCCTGGAATGCACAGTAGTTACAACCAAGGCAGTGAGCAACTTGAATTTCCGCCACGGAGTTTGGGGCATGCCCGCAGCTATGATTCCTGCACAGGCCTCCGGGGGGTTCCATGGTATGCATCAAGGTCAAGTGATGGGTGCGGTCGAAATCTACCATCGCCGTCGGTCATGGCTACTGCACACCACTCGCTTGGCTCACCTGCAAGCCCTGGTGTTCGGATTGCCTTATCAGATTTGTCCTTCATGTCGCCAAACCAAGAGCGAGCAACGCCACTACCACAGAACTATGGCGACGATATTTACAGGCCGAATTCCGCTCACAAGCATATCGTCAGCGGTCATACATCGCCTCGTCCTCAGATGCGTGAAGGGGTCAGCCAGGATACGTGTCCCCCTACCCGCAGCGGCATGCCTCGGGATTCGCTCAGGGCTCGAGGGACCACATGCCCGTTCCATATGATGTGGAAACCAGTCACAGACCCACGGGAAGCCCCATATTACCCAGAGACTGGCCCGTCTCGCGCTCCTCAGGGCCAGTCGGGATCTTTCAAGCAAGGAACGGCCGAAGAAGCTCCATCTCAGGAGGAAAGCCGAAGGCGTTGGACACAGCGATTGTTTCAATCGGCGTTGGATGAGGCCGGAACGGAAGAGGATGGACCGGAACCGGAGCAAGGCAGTCAAAATCACCACATATGCCCCCGTCAAAGTCTCTTCAACGGGATCTGGTCATAGATGGGCTGGCCAGGGCGGTGCACGTGGGGGCTCTTCTGGACCATATTCCCCAAGCGCGGGGTACCAGTCTAGTTATAAACGCCGGTACCAGGCTTGGAGAGGGAGAAGAGGTAGCCACCGTTAAGTTCTACCTAAGGCCGGAGATGACGAGTGAGTATATATGTAGTTTCATTGCCACTTATATCTTATTAGGAAGGTATCACTAAGAGATTTTATTTTTAATCCCTATATATATAAAATGTATATAGCGCCTTTATATAGTAGTAAACACTTAAAACCTAATATTTAAAGAAATATAGTATTAATAATAGTAAAAGAATAATATAATATATTTATAAGGATATAATTAAACTTTATACTATATAAATAAGGTTAAAGAATATTATTCTTCATATTATTATATAAAATTATTAATATAAGTAGCTTTAAAGCTAATAGTTAGTAAAATAGTTATATAATAAGATTAAAATAGTTTTAAAATAACCTTTATAAAAGAAAAGTCTTATAATATAAAACTTAATAAACTAACTCTTCCTTATTAATATACTTAATAACTATTTAAATCTACCTTTATTAAATAAATTAAATATATTATAATTCATATTTTAAATATATAACTATTAATAGAATAATAATATTATTATAATAAACTTATTTAAAAACTTTTTAAAAATTAAATAAAGTTTATTTATTATATATTAAATAAATACAATATAAGGAAAATAAAAGTTTAAATATTTAAAAATTAAATCTTTTTCTTTTAAGTATACTATTTTATTATTAAACATTTATCTACTTCTATATAATATATAAAGAATGTAATAGAAAAGGAAGCCTTATAAAAGAAGTTAATAATTATATATAAATAAGTTTAAGGGTATATATTAAGTAATTATTAACTTTATACTTAAGGTATAAACTAATAGCTAGTTTAAAAGTTAAGAAGATAATGAATAGATAAATATATAGTTAAACAAAAAATATAATATAGCTGAAGCCAAGGTATCACTAAGAGTTTACTACCAACCCCATACAAGGATGACCTATTGGAGGTCAAAATACAGGAGGCTATGTCGCAGGAAGCATAAAACTGGGAGGCATACCTATGAGAGAGAGTCAATTACCATAGGGTACCTAGATAGTTTTAGGGGTCTGGGACATAGATACCGCGGTCGCAGTTCAGACAATGAACGGACCTCGATGTTTTGAACGGCGTGTGCCGTGTCGTTTTCAAGTTTGTTGCAACGTCTCCGAAATCCGTGCTAGAGTAGCTTCATGCTTTTAAACTACGGGCTTGATGTTCTCGTTCTCCTACTCTGCGTTCCTCTCCTGCTCGCTCGTTCGCAAACCTAGGTGGGTGGTAAATGCCGGGAAGTGATGGCCCAAAGCCGATGTGGAGTCTACAGCCATAAAGAGCTATGATAAAGATGAGACGCCGATGCCTGAAACCAACTTTCGCCATATGTTATTCAAAGCTTTCAACATTGCAGGTTTCCGTGCCTTGTTAGCAAAAGTAACCACATTGGGTGGGGGGGGGGCTCGAGGGGATCAATTTCGAGCGACCAAACACTCGGTGAATGCGCTTGGTCACTTGGGGGACATGGAACGTTGTGAGATACATTGAGGCATCGCCTACAGGAGCTGATGGGTGCTCACATGTGCAAGCCGGCAGGCAGCCTGTAGTAGAGATTCCTCAAGCAAGATTGTAGCAGTCCTAGATATGTGGTCCACCGAGACCTTGGTCGCATATAGCTGGCAAGAAGAATTTACTTAACTCTTGTAAGGTACCCTAGGGCACCTAGGTAGTTATGATTCAGGTTGCTGGCTTCGCCCGCTTCGTCATACTTCAATACCCAAGTAGACGGGGACGTCACAAAGTCATTCGTTAACACGAGCCACTGAACCGAGGTTTTTATGCCTCACCGTGGGGAGAAACTGCGAGTGACTTGGTCGTACACACATCTTATATTAATGCTGCCACGAGTCCTGACCTCAAGCTCTGGCTTGTCGTGGTCCACACAGAAAGTTAACCCTGTCGAATAGAAGAACTGGAAGACAAGTGCTCCTGGACTTAGAAGTGCACAGTACGTACA